TGCAAGAGGGTTCCCTTTTCCCAACACCCTCTCCAGCATTTATTGTTTGTAGATTTTTTGATGATGGCCATTCTGACTGGTGTGAGGTGATACCATATTGTAGTTTTGATTTGCACTTCTCTAATGATTAGTGATGTTGAGCATCCTTTCATGTGTTTGTTGGCAATCTGTATATCTTCTTTGGAGAAATGTCTATTTAGGTCTTCTGCCCATTTTTGGATTGGATTGTTTGATTTTTTGATATTGAGCTGCATGAGTTGCTTGTATATTTTGGACATAAATCCTTTGCCAGTTGCTTCGTTTGCAAATATTTTTTCCCATTCTGAGGGTTATCTTTTCATCTTGTTTATGGTTTCCTTTGCTGTGCAAAAGCTTTTAAGTTTCATTAGGTCCCATTTATTTGTTTGTGTTTCCATTTCTCTAGGAGACGGGTCAAAGAGGATATTGCAGTGATTTATGTCATAAAGTGTTCTTCCTATGTTTTCCTCTAAGAGTTTGATAGTTTCTGGCCTTACATTTAGCTGTTTAATCCATTTTGAGTTTATTTTTGTGTTTGGTGTTATGGAGTGTTCTAATTTCATTCTTTTACATGTAGCTGTCCAGTTTTCCCAGCACCACTTATTGAAGAGGCTGTATTTTCTCCATTGTACATTCTTGCCTCCTTTATCAAAGATAAGGTGACCATATGTGTGTGGGTTTATCTCTGGGCTTTCTATCCTGTTCAATTGATCTATATTTCTGTTTTTGTGCCAGTACCATACTGTCTTGAATACTGTAGCTTTGTAGTATAGTCTGTGGTCTGGGAGCTGATTCCTCCAGCTCCTTTTTTCTTTCCCAAGATTGCTTTAGCTATTCTGGGTCTTTTGTGTTTCCATTCAAATTGTGAAATTTTTTGTTCTAGTTCTGTGAAAAATGCCAGTGGTAGTTTGATAGGGATTGCATTGAATCTGTAGATTGCTTTGGGTAGTAGAGTCATTTTCACAATGTTGATTCTTCCAATCCAAGAACATGGTATATCTCTCCATCTGTTTCTATCATCTTTAATTTCTTTCATCAGTGTCTTATAGTTTTCTGCATACAGGTCTTTTTCTCCTTAAGTAGATTTATTCCTAGGTATTTTATTCTTTTTTTTGCAATGGTAAAGTTTCCTTAATTTCTCTTTCAGATTTTTCATCATTAGTGTATAGGAATGCAAGAGATTTCTGTGCATTAATTTTGTATCCTGCTACTTTACCAAATTCATTGATTAGCTCTAGTAGTTTTCTGGAAACATCTTTAGGATTCTCTATGTATAGTATCATGTCATCTGCAAACAGTGACAGCTTTACTTCTTCTTTTCCAATTTGGCTTCCTTTTATTTCTTTTTCTTTTCTGATTGTGGTGGCTTCAACTTCCAAAACTATGTTGAATAATAGTGGTGAGAGTGGACACCCTTGTCTTGTTCCTGATTTTAGAAGAAATGGTTTCAGTTTTTCACCATGAAGAACGATGTTGGCTGTGTGTTTGTCATATATGGCCTTTATTATGTTGAGGTAAGTTCCCTCTATGACTACTTTCTGGAGGGTTTTTATCATAAATGGTGTTGAATTTTGTCAAAAGCATTTTCTGCATTTATTGAGAGGATCAAATGGTTTTTATCCTTCAGTTTGTTAATATGTTGTATCACATTGATTGATTTGTGCATATTGAAGAATCCTCGCTTCCTGGGATAAACCCCACTTGATCATGGTATATGATCCTTTTAATGTGCTGTTGGATGCTGTTTGCTAGTATTTTGTAGAGGACTTTTGCATCTATGTTCATCAGTGATATTGGTTTGTAGTTTTCTTTTTTTGTGACATCTTTGTCTGGTTTTGGTATCAGGGTGATGGTGGCCTCGTAGAATGAGTTTGGGAGTGTTCCTCCCTCTGCTATATTTTGGAAGAGTTTGAGAAGGATAGGTGTTAGCTCTTCTCTAAATGTTTGATAGAATTTACCTATGAAGCCATCTGGTCCTGGGCTTTTGTTTGTTGGAAGATTTTTATTCTTTTTTTTTTTTGGCGGTACACGGGCCTCCCACTGGCGCGGCCTCTCCCGTTGCGGAGCACAGGCTCCAGATGCGCAGGCTCTGCATCCACGGCTCATGGGCCCAGCCACTCCACAGCATGTGGGATCCTCCAGGACCAAGGCACGAACCCACGTCCCATGCATCGGCAGGCAGACCCTCAACCACTGCGCCACCAGGGAAGCCCTGTTGGAAGACTTTTAATCACAGTTTCAATTTCAGTGCTTGTGATTAGTTGTTCATATTTTCTATTTCTTCCTGGTTCAGTCTCGGAAGTTTGTGCTTTTCTAAGAATTTGTCCAATTTTGCCAGGTTGTCCATTTTATTGGCATAGAGTTGCTTGCAGTAGTCCCTCATGTTTCTTTGTATTTCTGCAGGATCAGTTGTTACTTCTCCTTTTAAATTTCTAATTCTTTGATTTGAGTCTTCTGCTTTTTTTCTAGATGAGTCTGGCTAGTGGTTTATCAATTTTGTTTATCTTCTCAAAGAAACAGCTTTTAGTTTTATTGATCTTTGCTATCATTTCCTTTGCTTCTTTTTCATTTATTTCTGATCTGATCTTTATGATTTCTTTCTTTTTGCTAACTTTGGGGGTTTTTTTGTTCTTCTTTCTCTAATGGCTTTAGATGTAAGGTTAGATTGTTTATTAGAGATTTTTATTGTTTCTTCAGATAGGATTGTATTCCTATAAACTTCCCTCTTAGAAACGCTTTTGCTGTATCCCATAGGTTTTGGGTCATCGTGTCTTCATTGTCATTTGTTTCTAGGTATCTTTTGATTTCCTCTTTGATTTCTTCAGTGATCTCTTGGTTATTTAGTAGCGTATCATTTAGCCTCCATGTGTGTGTATTTTTCACAGATTTTTTCCTGTAATTGATATCTAGTCTCAGCGTTGTAGTTGGGAAAGATACCGGATATGATTTCAATTTTCTTAAATTTACCGTGGCTTAATTTGTGACCCTGGATATGATCTATCCTGGAGAATGTTCAATGAGCACTTGAGAAGAAAGTGTATTCTGTTGTTTTTGGATGGAATATCTTATAAATATCAATTAAGTCCATCTTTTTAATGTATCATTTAAAGCTTGTGTTTCCTTATTTATTTTCATTTTGGATGATCTGTCCATTGGTGAAAGTGGGGTGTTAAAGTCCCTTAGTATTATTGTGTTACTGTCGATTTCTCCTTTTTTGGCTGTTAGCATTTGCCTTATGTATTGAGGTGCTCCTATGCTGGATGCATAAATATTTACAATTGTTATATCTTCTTCTTGGATTGATCCCTTGATCATTACGTAGTATCCTTCTTTGTCTCTTATAACAGTCTTTATTTTAAAGTCTATTTTGTCTGATATGAGAATTGCTACTCCAGCTTTCTTTTGATTTGCATTTACATGGAATATCTTTTTCCATCCCCTCACTTTCAGTCTCTATGTGTCCCTAGGTCTGAAGTGGGTCTCTTGTAGACAGCATATATACGGGTTTTGTTTTTGTATTCATTCAGCCAGTCTGTGTCTTTTGGTTAGAGCATTTAATCCATTTACATTTAAGGTAATTATCGATATATATGTTCCTATTACCATTTTCTTAATTGTTTTGTGTTTGTTTTTGTAGGTCTTTTCCTTCTCTTGTGTTTCCTGCCTAGAGAAGTTCCTTTAGCGTTTGTTGTTAAGTTGGTTTGGTGATGCTGAGTTCTCTTAACTTTTGCTTGTCTGTAAAGGTTTTAATTTTCCTTCAAATCAGAATGAGATCCTTGCTGGGTAGAGTAATCTTGTTTGAGGTTTTTCCCTTTCATCACTTTAAATATTTCCTGCCACTCCCTTCTGGCTTGTAGAGTTTCTGCTGAAAGGCCAGTTGTTAACTTTATGGGGATTCCCTTGTATATTATTTGTCGCTTTTCCCTTGCTGCTTTTAATATTTTTTCTTTGTGTTTAATTTTTGATAATTTGATTAATATGTGTCTTGGTGTGTTTCCTCCTTGGATTTATCCTATATGGGACTCTCTGCATTTCCTGGACTTGATCCACTATTTCCTTTCCCACGTTAGGGAAGTTTTCAACTAAAATCTCTTCAAATATTTTCTCAGACCCTTTCTTTTTCTCTTCTTCTTCTGGAACCCCTATGTTTCGAATGTTGGTGTGATTAATGTTGTCCCAGAGGTCCCTGAGACTGTCCTCAATTCTTTTCATTCTTTTTTCTTTATTCTGCTCTGCAGTAGTTATTTCCACTATTTTATCTTCCAGGTCACTTATCTGTTCTTCTGCCTCAGTTATTCTGTTTTTGATTCCTTCTAGAGAATTTTAAATTGCATTTATTATGTTGTTCATTATTGTTTGTTTGCTCTTTATTTCTTCTAGGTCTTTTTTAATACTTTCTTATATTTTCTCCATTCTATATCCAAGATTTGGGATCATCTTTACTATCATTACTCTGACTTCTTTTTCAGATAGACTGCCTGTTTCCTCTTCATTTGTTTGGTCTGGTGGGTTTTTACCTTTCTTCTTTATCTGCTGCATATTTCTCTGTCTTCCCATTTTGCTTACTTTCTGTGTTTGGGGTCTCCTTTTCATAGGGTGCAGTTCGTAGTTTCCATTGTTTTTGGTGTCTGCCTCCAGTGGGTAAAGTTTGTTCAGGGGCTTGTGTAGGCTTCCTGGTGGAGGGGGCTGGTGCCTGTGTTCTGGTGGGTGGGGCTGGATCTTGTCTTTCTGATGGGCAGGGCTGCATCCAGTGCTGTGTTTTGGGGTGTCTGTGAACTTAGTATGATTTTAGGCAGCCTCTCTGCTAATGGGTGGCGTTGTGTTCCTGTCTTGCTAGTTGTTTGGCATGGGGCATCCAACACTGGAGCTTGCTGGCCGTTGGGTGGAGCTGGGTCTTAGCGTTGAGATGGAGATCTCTGGGAGAGCTCCCACCGGTTGATATTACATGGGGCCGGGAGGTCTCTGGTGGTCCAATGTCCTGAACTCGGCTCTCCCACCTCAGAGGCTCAGGCCTGATACCAGGCCAGAGCACCAGGACCCTGTCAGCCACACGGCTTCTGAAATGTAGTCACGTTCACCATTTAATTTGCAACTCCTTGTAGAAAAATAAAGACTGCAGCCGGGCAGCGCTCTCTGTCTCTGTCTGTCTCTCTGACTTGCTTTCTCTCTCTCTGTATACGGTCCAGATGTCTCAGTAACCCCTTACTGTCGCAAGGCTGTGTCCTTAAGGCAGCTTCTGGTGTGGGGGAGGCTAGCAGAATGTCGACTCTCATTGATGGAGCCAAATTCTCCTAAGACCTTAAACTCTTTCCTAGATGTGAATTAGTTAACTTTCAAATCTTCTTTGGGCCAAGAGAAGTGACTGGCTGACTCCAGTGTAGTCTAGTACCATCCAATTTATAGTTAAGAGTTGGTGGTTTTTATTGTTGTTTTTAACATAATCTGACTCCAAAACAAATTTTATCAACTGGGCTTTCCTCTTCACACGTAAATACTCCAGTAAAACAAATTAAATGTAATGTACACAATGGGAAATAAAATCCTTGAATAGGTGTCAATGACATGGTTGTTCTCCAGAACGATTCTACCAACCTGCCCTCCTAGTGATTTTCTTCTTTATCAGAGGTGAATCTGTGCTGAGGTTGCCTGTGCATCTTTCTTGCATGGAGTCCTCTTCTGAGTGTAGAGAAAAGGATGTCTGGTCCGTGTCAGTTGTACTGTCATGGTAACAACCATCGAAGGCCATGGCTTGAGCTGCATCAATACTGTACATTCCAGAAATCTGACAAAAAGACTTTTGTTAGTTAGTCATGAATATGGTTTTAGGAGTTGGAATTACAGTAAAAATCTAAACAATCAGATTTTAAAAATAGTTTCAATAAATACTAAGAATGTTTGCTTATTTTAAAGAATAGAATTCTGGTTTTGCTTCTGGTGTCTGATGAAAAGTCATTTTCATAATAAATGGAAAACATCATCTTAGACATCCATTTTTAATAGGGATTTAGAGAGAGAGAGATTTGAGCATTATACAAATAAATGTATCACAACTATAATTGTCAATGTTTTCTAATTTAGTCCAGGCCTGACAGACTGTTACACTCAATGTTTTTTTCCACAAAAGGGAACATTGTTTCAAGTTTTCCTCTTTGTTTCTGAGTAGTATGAATTGCTTGCCCTAAGTTTGTGTGTTGAAATTGAATATGATTTATCAGAAGAGCAATATAAGCAATTGGACTTGTTTTTCAATGTATTTTTCCTCTTTAGAGAAAACATAGCAGTACGCCTAATCAGTGTGGGGTTTTTGTCCCAAAACAGAACAATATCATCTGGTGATCCATTTTTGCTTGAATTTGGGGTGGAGATAGGGAATGATTTTAGCTGCTCCTTTAAAATGCAAATTGACCAAGCCTTCCCACTTTTGCTGAAAAGTACCTTTAAATGCTACTAACATAGCTCAATTAAACAACTTGAAATTAGTGTATTTTTTTGAAGGAGTGAGTTATCAATGCTTTCTGGCTCCATTGCTTGACTGAATCTAAACCACTGTTTTTCTTTAAGGTTTTACTCTGCGGGAGATAGTGGTTCTCCCTGATACAGAGCTGTGTCTAGGAAGCAGCTGTTACTAATTGCTTTCTGAGAAAACAAAATTTCTTTTTGATCTCTAGGGAAGCTAAAAAATGAACAAATATGGACAGGCTACTACTGGATGAAAGTATTCATTATTCAAATTGGAGGCTGCAGAGTAAATTCTGCCAAAATGTGTATGTGGTTCAATACTGACTCAAAAACCTAATATTTTACTGAATTCAAGAGACATAAGGACTATTTTGTGCAGTCAGTAAACTAACCAGGGACCCATACTCGAATTATGTTGTCCCTTTTTGTTTTAGTTGTAGAAACTTCTCATAGTAAAATGAAAATGGGTAAAATAAACATGAAACGACATTGAGACTGAATTACTAACCAACAGCCAATAATAACACTTATATCCAACTCTGGATCTGAGGATAGAATAACTATATACGGTCTCCTTGGTTTTCTTTCTCCATTATGATAATTTAGATCTATAAAATTGGTTAAACCTTGCAGTGCACAATTTACCAGTAGGCTGCTAATGTCCACAAGTTTGTAAGTTGGTTGTTCCAGTAGAAACAGTTTTAGAACTGGTCTTTAATTTTTCACTCCAGCTTACAAATAAGCACAAAGCTAAGGCATATTACATCTAAAGTACAGATTTGATGGTTTTAGACTGAGCTCTAAGTCCTAGAATTGGGAAAACATTTGGATGAAGAATAAGAAAGAAAATAGCTTCCTTTCTCCTTTCTGGGCAATGGTCAATGCTAGGGACAAATTTTCCATGGACCTTACTGTTCTCCCATCTCTTGGTATCTGGGGGTGGTTGGGACGGGTGTGTGATGGTGGTGATCGTGGTGTTGGAAGGAAATGAGCTTTGCTTAACTTCATGATTTCATAGGGAGGAACTCCATAGCCTAACATTCCTGGTCTTTCTCATCATCCCTCAATCACTCTACCCTAGGGGTTTGGAAGAAGGAACTGGCATGTGTGTTTTTAGTCCTTTTGGAGTCACTTTAGGATCTGCATTGGTGTCCAGGTTTGTTTTCTGAAATGAGGTAAAGGAGACTGTCCTCACAGGGAAATCCTGAATTGTCTAGCTTTGCCAGTGACCAAGAGAGTAAGTACACTGAATACAGCAATGAAATATTAGTGGGACCCCCTGCTCACAGATCTAAGGCAATTTCTCTAAACTGTTTTACCAATAACAAAAGTAACATTATCACATCCATCTGTCTGGCTCCTACATCTCTCTCTCTCTCTCAGACTGGTTTCCCAACTCACATACAGAGGGGAGAGGTATCATTGATTAGCCCCCAATCCTACAGATGTATCTTTTTTCCCTGCATCTCACCAGAGCATCCCACCCCTTTAAAGATCTCTCATCTCAAACAGCCTGTTCCACTATCCCTTTCAAAACTGCTACTCCTTCAGAGAATATGCTCTGGGCACTAATCACAATAAGAACATAACATTTGTGTAGCACTATATGGTATGCAAAAATGTTAAATGCATTTGTTATATCATTTGATCTTCACAACAGCTCTGTGAGGTAATAGGGAAGAAATTCTACCATTTTGCAAATGCAGAATGAGGTTTAGGAGACAGCCTGGCACACGGAGCTAGGATATTAGGTTTGGCATCACTTCTGACTCCAAATCTGTGCTCCTTCATTTGTACCACAAACATATGAAGGGCAAGTAGGACATTTCTTTGAGATAATTGCACCTTTGAAGGAGAATGCATAGAATGGTGGTTTCCAGAGGTTGGGAGGAGGGGGAAATGGGGAGTTGTTTAATGGGTACAGAGTTTCGATTTTGCAAGGTGAACACTTTCTGGAGATTGGTTGTATGGCAATGTGTATACTCTTAATACTATGAAACTGTACACTTAAAGACAATTAAGGGCTTCCCTGGTGGCACAGTGGTTGAGAGTCCGCCTGCCGATGCAGGGGACACGGGTTCGTGCCCCGGTCCGGGAAGATCCCACATGCCACGGAGCGGCTGGGCCCGTGAGCCATGGCCGCTGAGCCTGCGCGTCCGGAGCCTGTGCTCCGCAACGGGAGAGGCCACAACAGTGAGAGGCCCACGTACCGGAAAAAAAAAAAAAAAGAAAAGAAAACAAAAACAATTAAGATGGCAACTTCTATGTTATGTATATTTTACTACAATTGAAAATAAAAAATAATTTTTAAAGTGAACAATGCTTATTAATTCAAAAGGATATCTTCTGGGGTACACAGAAGACTGTGAACAACCCGATCAAGTGAAAAAAACATGCAGGTAGTGTGAGCACATGTGCTTTGTGGTGGGGTGGGTGGAGGTGGGGAGTCAGAGGACTAGCTAGAGGTGGCCGAAATTACTACAGTGCCTCTGTCGTGGGTTCACCACTCCCCACGTGAAAACAAAACAAAACAAAATAACACAAGAACAAAATTCTTCTCCTCATCACACATTTATCTCTTTCACTTCACAGCTTATCTAATCATGGCTCTTCACAGTGTGGCTATGGACTGGCAGCAGCCAGGGCTTAGAAATGCAGACCCTCAGCTCCCACCCCAGACCTACTGAACGAAAATCTTAACAAATCCCAGGTGATGCGTACATGCCGATTATGGCACACTCGTCTAAAAGCTCCTGATTTTCTCACGCCTGCGTAGCGGTCACTGTGGGTATGTATGTGACAGAGACTCATACTTCCATGCTGTCAACAAAAGAAACTAAAGCATCTGCAATGAAGCAAAATCAGCTTCTATTACGGCTTTGCCTCAAAGGATATGAAATAAAAGACTGAAGTGGCATTACAGGAGATCTGAACTGCGATTGCAGCTCTGCTGGCTCTGGATCTTTCAGCAAATCACCAGAGATCATCACCTCCGCAAGGCCTACATCATGGAGTTGATATGAGGGCTCGGTTCCAGAAGAGGATATACAGATGCTCTGAAAAGTATGAAATACTCTCACTAGAAGTATAAGTAAATATTAAATAATGTTTTGGGTGTGTATAAATAGTCATGATAAGAATTTCGTAAACCGGTGTGAATATATCACATTAAAATTGCACATATATATATATATACACATATACACACACACATATATATAGCAAACAAATTAATTTGATCAGTTAGGTTTCTGAAGTAAAATATCATGTGTCAGTTCTCGTAATAACAGGAAGTTGGTGCCCCACCCCTTTGTGAAATGAAGCAGGGAGAGAGCAATCTATCCAGATTGAGAATGTCACAAGGAACAGGTGATTAACATTTAGGCCGAGAAGGTACCTTATTCCCAGTACACTGTGAAGAGAAGAACCTTCCCTCGTGCTCTACCACTCTCCCGAGTGACTAGAAAAGAAAAATAAATCCTAGCTCTTGGTGGAGATCGATCATTGATTGGTTGAGAGCACAGCCTTTGGAGTCAGGGTGCTGCAGAAACAAATCCTGATTCCTCTTAAGCTGTGTGACCTTGGTCAAGTTACTCCCCCATCTGCTCCTATTTCACCTCCGTAAAATGAAGGTGATCAAGTACCAACCTCTTGGAGTTACTCTGAGAATTAAAAGACATAATATGTTGGATGGTTAGCACAATGCCAATATATAAGAAACACTCATTAAATGTTAGCTATTATTATTATCATCATCATCATCTACTTGAAAGGATGTGATTTGTACATCAACCCCTTCTTTTCAAGGGTTAGAGTCAGTGGAGGGGAGCACACTGAGAGAAATTCCTCACACAGAAAATCTCTTGGCAAAGGTGAATGAGGATGCTGAGGAAACCAGCCAGCACAGAACAGAAAGAATAAAGCTCAATATCAAATTGTCATCACCCCATAAACTTGCATCTTGCCAAGGCACATGGACTTCACACAAGGGTCGCAATGCTGTCAGGAGAGGGCATAGATGAGGGTAGTCTTTTTCACATTCCGGAAAGGATACAAGTCAAAAGAAGGCAGTACCTTCCCTGTCTTCACTGTGGTGAGGTAGTTCAGGGCTGCGTACTCAAGGACTGACAGGAAGACAAAGAGGGAGCTAGCCCACAGGTACACGTCCATGGCCTTGACGTAGGACACCTGGGGCATGGAGGCGCATACCCCAGAGAGGATCGTGGACATGGTCAGCACCATGGTGATTCCTGCCATTTGAGAACAGTGATGAGTTCAGTGACATAACCATTCAGCTCCAGGTGCTGGTGCTGGATGACACCAGGGGATACATTTCCAGATTGATACCTGGTGATCAAAGGCGTGTGTGTGTGGACGGAATCCCAGCATGTTAACCTAGTACACGGCTTGAGCCTAAGCAAGAAACTCTGCTTGGATTTCTCTTTCCATCTCATTTTCTCACCGTCACCTCCATTGTCTGTGACGTCTCCTTCCCTCCAGCTAAAGTCTCCACGGAGTCAGACTTGTCTTTAAGGATCCACTGCTTCCCACCCTCAGTTGGGCCTCTTCTAACCATCCCAGGAAGGTAATAATGTATTCAAGTTTTAAAAATTCTTCTGAGAAAGAAATTCTAAAACCATTTTCGCTACCCTTCCCCATCATTTCACAACTTCTACTGTTCAGAAAGCGTCTTCATGTCAATCTTTCATTTGTCAGGGAGTGATCTTTAGCAGTATTAAAGATTGCTTTCTCTGTATTTTTCTTTCATATAGAACACTTACAAGCCATCGTTATTGGTATCACTTTGCCCCTGGTTACTGAAACTACAATTCAGTTGAGATTGAGAACGGAAGTGTGTTAGTGGAGGCTGGGTTCAGTGTAAATATTTACTAAGCAACTGCTAAATGCCACTTACTTTCTGCGCCTCCCCTCCCTTTCCCTTGTTGTCCAGTACTCCTACCACTTTCCTTCTCTTCCCTTCCTCTCCCTGACCACTGCCTTCCCCTTCCCTTTCCTTTTCTTCTCTTCCTTTCCCTTCTTTAATCCCTGCCATGGGCGTCAGAGGTAACGAGATCAATGTTCTGGGGGACAATGGAGAAAGAGGTGACTCTGAGACTTCCTTAATAAAATGCCAGCCTTGGGGAGGGCTACTCTGTGTCTACACTAATTTCTCAGAGGCATACTGCAAGAGTACTGCCTGGAGAGAAAGTAAAGCATTGTAAATATTTGAAATGTACACTGGCTGGCATGGTTTTATTTATTAACTTCCCACCAGGGGAGTGCAGATGGAATCCTTAATGATTTTTATAAGTTGTGAGGACACTTTAATGTTAACAGACAGAGTCCCGAACAGCAGGAGGAGCGCTGCGATTTACTCCTAAATGTACAGACACAGCATGTGGACAGCTTTCACCCGCACGTTTCTACCTTTTCAACAAATTCTATAATTCTGCGAGGTTCTCCTCTGAGGGAGGCCCGTATCAAAGACAATGACAGTGCTACAGAGCTACTCAATTTCAAATTAAGTTTTTCCTTTGGATGACCCAAACCAATGCAATTTGGCAATTTGATAGTCACCATAGGAGGGCCTGGAATCTCACCTTCACACTGCTTTGAACTCCAGAATAAGAAACCTAAAAGCTTCTCTAGCACTTACCATGAAATGCAGGCCACTGACCCACTGAGTCTCAGGTTTCCCCAACAATGGTAATATCAATAATCTGCGTCTCAGTGGAGGCTGCTTGCATTCCTTGCTACATAAACATGGAGATGTGAACTTTTTATTAATGGATCAGGTGTATGTATAGCTGAAGCTGAGATTAATAAATAAAACTTGCTTGCCTTTATTGAATGTTTACCCGCCACAAACCTAGGTAAATATTAACCACATGTTGCAGAGGAGAGTGGCTAATGAGCCTGAGTTTGGTCAGGAGCAGGACTGAAACCTTTCTCTCTGAGTGTAGAACCATGCTCTTTTCATGCAAACCTGTGGCCTCTCATTCTGAACCTGTAGAGGAAGCTTCCTTTTGTTTTGTTTTGTTTTGTTTTTTTTTTCGGTACACGGGCCTCTCTCTGTTGCGGCCTCTCCCGTTGCGGAGCACAGGCTCCAGACGCGCAGGCTCAGCGGCCATGGCTCACGGGCCCAGCCGCTCCGCGTCATGCGGGGTCCTCCCGGACCGGGGCACGAACCCGCGTCCCCTGCATCGGCAGGCGAACCCTCAACCACTGCGCCACCAGGGAAGCCCTCCTTTTGTTTTTAAGATTATAAACCAATTTCTATATATGGAGTATCTCTGCGACAAGATGCTGTAAAATTGAGTGTAGAATTATGTCAGGAAGCATGAAGGTACTTTGTGCTTTACAAGAGGCCAAAAGTCTTACTCCTGTCAGGATTTCCCTGGTAAAACCGTGAAAACTGTGAAAATCCTAAATGAACATTCCTATTTAGGAATGTTTACCTCATTTGTTCAAAAATGTTGAAATGTTTTCTCTTACTGGTTTTCTAAGATATGGAAGAGAGAACTTGAATTTTTTTCAGTGAACAGTAACATGAAGCTTAATGGACAAAATAAGGGTTTAGAAAAACACACAGATACATGCTCCTGTCATGTATTTTAAATTGATGACTGTTGGGTCAATAAAAGGGAATTGCATTATCTATATTTGCCAGACAGCAATAAACTAGCAGTCATTTTCTTTAGAAAGGTGCTTAGTCCAACTAATTTTTGGTAGCTTTATTTATTTTTAAACCAGCATTCCAAACTTTCCTCTTTAAAAGGAGCAAACAGAGAGAGGGAGAGACAGGGAGACTGGGGAGAAGGGAATGTAGAGTACAGGGAGTAAGGGGTGAGAAAACTGATATATAAATTCCTAAAGCAATAGGACTTGGAGTGAGGAGTATTACAGCTACATTAACCACACTTGTCTTGAGCCACCCCTTAGAAATACATTAACCTTGACAAACTGTATTCATTCCAAGCCCATTAAAGTTAACATCCCAATAAAGGAGTTTTGAATTATAGGAAGTGACCATTTAGTCAAAGAAAGGTCCTGTGTTGGGATTAGAGGACTATTTTCCCACCTACTGAGATTGCTATGCATAGTGAGGAAAGTGTTAAGAGGCAATAGTTAGTCTGGCTTCTGGGACTCAACTTCCCTGAGCCTCGCAGTTTCACTCACCATATTAATTCTTAAGGACACATATGAGATCCAAAGAGCCCTGCAGTTAGGGGAGAATTATTCATCTAGCTTTGTGTTTCATTGGCTATTTTTTGCCATATATGATGGAGAGGTTCCTTGACCTGTGTGAAAGCAGTAGGGCCTGCAGCCGTCACTTAGAACTACTGAGTCAGTTCACCCCTTCAGTGGCTGTGTGGTGGGGAGCTCTTTTGAAGGAATAGGTGTCTACATTCATCTTTAAATGAGCAAAAATATTTTCCCTGTAGGCCTAGGCAGAAGAAAAATATTAAGTGATGTGAGGGAGAGAAACACAGGCTGGATATCCAAATACCACTCTATGGCCAGAAAGTAACAACCATTATTCCACAAAGGTGGTGCCAGAGCCCGTGGCACAGAAGTTCTAGTTACTTCTATAATGGTAAAATGAATAGCTCCTAAGTATTTACTTTTCCAGGTATACGGGATATCCTCTGTTAGACATTTTGCTTTATGAATGACTACATGCCTGAAAGTTTTAGTTGCCTTTCTCTGTCATGTTTATTTCCTGATAAATGACCCCATTACTTCATACATTGTACATGAATGGCATACCCCAGCAGAGGGGTCAAAACAGGAACGATGGAGACAAGGAAAGAAGGAGGGAGGTAGAAAGGAGAGGAGAACCCTCCATGAGGGTTAAAACATCCTTGAACAGCTTGTAATAGCCTCACACCAGATCGAATAGAAACATAGAATGGTATTTTAACCCATTACACATTCCAAGTTATGACAGCTATTGTCTCTTATGAGAAGTGCCTAATCACAATTGATACTTTTGTGCTGTTCAGCTTCCACTGTTCTTTATCTGAAACGTGACAAATGTGGAAGGGTCTTAACCAGCAAATGATTCATCCTCAATCAGCAAATGAACCCAAATGTGGAAGAGTCTTAATGAATCATCATTGTTTTCAGTTAGTAGCTAAAATACAGTTATTAAAAACATGGTGGGCTAAATACTGGTAGTTTAACAACTATGTATTGAGCACAAAATATGTGCAGGACACTGTGCCAGTCACGTAGGGACAGAAAAGAGGATAATAATGATCCTTTTCCTTAAGAAACTCATATTCTAATAGAGGAGACAAGATGAGCTACCAACCCATCCCATAGCCGAACATGAAATAGAGGAAGTAGGGGTCTCAGGAGAGATACAAAGTGCTATGTGGTCCAAAGATGGGAGAGACCATATCTGCCTGGAACCAACAGTAAAGGCTTCTGGCTGTATAGAAATGGCTGAATTTGACAGAGAAAGACAGGTAGGGAGGCCATTCTAAGCAGAGTGAGAGCCAGAACAAATGTATAGAGGTGAGATACGCAGATAGGCATGAGGGCCTGTTTGAGAACATTGAACATTCAAATTGGTTGAAGCTTATTAGGGCTAGCATGTTGAGGCAGGAGTATGATTGAAAATTTAGCAAATAAAAATACAGAACACTCAGTTATATTTCAATTTCAGATGAACAATGAGCAGTGTTTTAGTATCAGTATGTCCCATACAATATTTGGGATAGACTTAAACGAAAACATTATTTGGTGCTTATCTAAAACACAGATTTAACCAAGTGTCCTGTATTTTATCTGGCAACCCTCAAGGGACACCTTGGATTCCAAGTTGAGTGTATTTACTCCAATGGCATTTGAGATGAGAGTATTGTGATCACATTTGCGTTTTAGAGATATCACTCTGGTCATAGGGTTGAACTGGGGCAAGAAGAGAAGGAGGTGAAATAAGCTATTACAAGGCCTCTGCAAGCCCAAACTACATCTTTGTACAAATTAGTAAGAGGTGCCCGTTCCTCTGGAGGACGTCACCCCAAACCATGTCCCATGGAACTTGGGCTGGATTTCTGCTCCCTACTCCTCACTGGGTGCACTGAAAAATTAGGAGTTTGGGATTCACAGATACACGCTACTATATATAAAATAGATAAACAGCAAGGACTTACTATATAGAACAGGTTACTATACATAATATCTTGCAATAACCTGTAATGGGAAGGAATCTGAATCACTTTGCTGTACACCTGAAACTAACACAACATTGTAAATCAACTATACGTCAATAAAAAAAAGTTTTTTTTAAACAGAGGGCAAAAACAAAAAACAAAAAAACAACAGAGGGCAAAGTATCTTTGAAAGAACTTGAAGGTGGTAGGAAGGAAAAGCCTGAGAGGATAGCGGTGTTCTAGGAATACTACAGTTCTATTAAAAAGGAGAGGGACACTTCTTATTTGTATATTATTTTACATAAATCTGCATAGCAATTTCCTAACCCTGAGGAATCAGATGTAGACGCAAGAAGCACAGAATTTCAGGGGCGACTTAAATGGATTTCAGTGTTCTCCATTCACCCACCCTGCCCTGGAACCAGCGTTTACTGCTGTCATTTTCAAAGTATAAGAGTTGAGCAGTCAGCTTCAGGGATCCTATTGAAAATCATATCCATAAACCTTTAGAGACTGAATACCCTTCTCATTCTGTCTCGAGGGCTGGAAATAGGCCTTTAGTCTCCTCTTTTGGGTCTACACTGCCCTACTGCGGTCAGGGCCAGGCTGCTCTGATGTGAAGGAACAGCTACAATAATTTAATTACTCATTCAGATAGTATGTTTCCTCTTGAAGACATTCAAGCCTCAAATGCTTGTAGATTGAAGCTTTTAAGCTTTTAATCATTCAGATAGTATGTTTCCTCTTGAAGACATTCAAGCCTCAAATGCTTGTAGATTGAAGCTTTTAATAGGGGAAAGAGGTGAACAAATTATTAATATTAATGACGATTTATGTCTTTCAAATGATCTTTTGAAGTATGCATATAATTTGTGAACATTAACTTAGAAATCACCCTTTCTGGAATGAATTGCGTGATAATTACAATGATTATGAACCACTTATGACAATCTTCTCTCTAGTTAGAGCATTACAGGTGAAAGAACAAAATCAACCAAAATGATAGAGTTCTGCCCCAAACCAGCTAAGAAGGCAGGTGGGATTGACTCTTGGGTTCCCACTAAGTAACATGTTATCTAAGTGCTTAGCTTGGCAACTCCACTTTGTAAGGACTCAATAACTGCTAAGTGAGTCTGAAATCATTCCCATAAATCTGTATGTGTGACAGTGGCAATATAACATATGTAGATAGAGGAGATAATATACCTGTTAATGAGGCTGGACATGTTTCTCCACCTGAAATCTCTTGCCCACTAATGTGTCACCATACCTAAAATTCCACTGCAGCTGATTCTGATTTTAGCGTTTAGATTACGCCCTAATTTCTAACTAGTGCTCATGTTTCCAAATTCAAACATCCCCTTCTCCAAGAAGTAATTTATTAAGGTACCAGTAGTATAGTGTGAATTGGTTTGAATTGAAATCTTCTGTGATGTACGGGTTTGTCAGGGGAAGTGAAATGAACTTGGGCAAGGGATAGGGAGGTTTTCCTGAAAGGGAGAAGAGAGACATTTATAAAGTGAGGCTGTTTATGCTTCATAATTTCACCCTCTCTCCTTACTATCATCCAGCTTTGGTCAGTTGGTGCAGCCTTCATACCTAATGTCTGGATTCCCGAGGAAAGAGTCCAACTACAATTTGCCCTTGAGGCTGTCAAGCCAAATACTGTAACCTGAGCCCACATCAGTAACTATCCCTACTAAACCATCAGTCTCTTTCCCTCTCCACTTATCACCCTTTTTATTTACCTTCCTCGACATTTCTCCCATATTAACATTTCACAAAGGTGTGGAAAGACTTACCCAAGGAAACTCTTGCAGGAACAGCTCTCTGGTCAATCCAAAATGAAACCCAGGAAAGCATTACCATCAATACAGCCGGGAGATAGGTTTGAAGCACGAAGAAGAAAATATGCCTCCTTAGCACAAAGTTGATGAAAAGCCTGTTGTACCAATCTGTGAGAAAAAGCCAAAGTTTTCATCAGAACAGGCTTCTTCGCGGAAACCCCACACTTAGTGAAACAACCTGCTTCTTTAGACTCCAAGCTCTTAGGGAACATGGAACTTAACACACTCACCCTTGTTTACCCAGCATTGGCATAGGACCTGGGCCTGGCACTCCATCCAATGTTTGTTGAACTAACTGAACTGCAGTCTGTTTAATTATCTGACTCAAAGATCCTCCTTTAAATTTCATACCTGCTGTTCAGGGATGAATGGTAATTACATTTTATGGGATGGCCTTTAAAGACCTTTCTCCAAAATAGACTGTGTTTGCAGTGTTTCTGCAGGTGAGAAAGTCTTCAGTACATGGCTAATGACTGATGCAATAGCCAATACACTATTTATTAGCTATAACAAATGAAATGAAATATTTTATGTGAAGGAAAAGATTCACAGTAGCTACTAGGTCACTGGATTCCAAGTTAGGATCCAGACAGCTAGGGATTCAAAGAAGAGCTAGGGGGAGGGAGTATCCGTAAACTATTTTTTATTATTTCAAAGTTTCACGGGTACCATTAATTTATCTATGAGAAGTCTGCCAAAAAGTAGCCAAATGATGTTCTTTTGCTTGTTGTTGGAATTATATAAACTCACGTTGGTAATATTGACTAATTTGTGCTGATCAAAAGTACAAATTGTAGTCACATCCACACACATTTTGTTCAGGTTTCCCTTTTCACATTGGCTGCAAGGAAGTTTAAAGCCATATTTTTGGACCATCTATAGGACTTCTCTGAGTGCCATTCTCTAATAACCACATATATTCTATAACATAACTTACCCTTGTTTTACATTTTTCTTTCTCACACATTTCTGATTCATATCATGCTTTATTTCACAATAGCTGTGATGTCAATCTTATTAAACCTTTTCTAAAATAAGGCAGTGAATAATGAAATGATAAAAATGAAAGTATATCTTTTATAAATAAGTGGTAAGATTAATTTTTCTATGATAAATGCAGTTTACTTTGAGACAAAATTAATCAAATCACAGAGACTATAGGTCAAAATAATAAATAAAACTAAATCATAGATGTTGCAAAAGTGGTAAGATTAATTTTTCTATGATAAATGCAGTTTACTTTGAGATAAAATTATTCAAATCAGAGAGACTATAGGTCAAAATAATAAATAAAACTAAATCATAGATGTTGCAAAGTTGGAGAACTCTTCTACTTCCTCAGTAGTAATTTCTTAGGTAACTCAAGATGGCAAACCTATTTAGACAGATTAGGTAAATACTTAGGCACTTAGTCTAAGATGTACTCCTAGTCAATCCACACCGAATTGGCAGACTGCATGCCTAATATTCTACTCTTTTTTTTTTTTTTTTTTGCGGTACGCGGATCTCTCACTGTTGTGGCCTTTCCCGTTGCGGAGCACAGACTCCGGACGCGCAGGCTCAGCGGCCATGGCTCATGGGTCCAGCTGCTCCGCGGCACGTGGGATCTTTGCGGACCGGGGCACGAACCCGTGTCCCCTGCATCGGTAGGCGGACTCTCAACCACTGCGCCACCAGGGAAGTCCAATATTCTACTCTTAATTAACTGCTGGTTACCCTTCTCTTTCCTACTCGTTCTGAGTTTCTCTCACCATCAGTTGATACGTTTCAGGAACACCAAACAATTTCATTACCAAGGCTAATAAAAGATACACTACATAGTGCATTCTAAGGTCAAAATATACATTTTTAAAGCTACTCATTGTCTTGTATTACACATGTCACAGTCCACTTCATTATGGTTTGCAATTGAGAATTTTGATTATGGTTGCAGAGTGAAATAATAGCATCTCTGACGTTATAACTTCATATAATTATTGTGAAATTAAAAGAGATAAGGAAAAGCTGTGAAAGTACTTCATAAAGAAAGACATTAATGCATATGGTTTTAAGTCTTGAAATATATTTAGGTAACGAGGTCCTTTCTTTACTCATAATTTTCTGAATTTTTTTTTTTTTTCCAACCCAGCAGGAGAAATGTTGCTCTGTCTTGCTGTTCTTCTGGGAAGGGGAGACTAGGGATGGTTTTGTTGTTGAAGCTGTAGCCAGGAAGAGCTCCCTTTACCAACCAGGAAAGGTAGTGCTGCTTTGAAAAGTTGTGGAGCCCTCATTTTGGGTAGTGCAATAAATAGAGTGTGAGTCCATTTTTCATATTTGACTTCTGATAACTTTCTAGCCCCACTTCCCCTTCTGTTCCACACCTGGGCAAGCTAGGAGGAAAGCCAGATGTTACCTCTTTGGCACTGGTGGGAAGATCAAACCATGCAAACACTGCACCATTTAAGGGAATCCTCATCCTAGCCCCACTTTCTAACCACCATAGAACCCCAAGTCAGGCACCCTTTTCTGTTCTCTCAGACATTTTCAGACCTTCTCAGGAGCCTGCCCTGCTCTCTCTAGAAAACCTCATTATGTGAGTAATAAATCTCTTTATACCCTTTTGGCATGTGTGTGGCATCACAGTGACGTACTTGATTGATTGATTGATTGATTGATTGATTCAGCTGCTATTTATTGAGCACCTATCATGTGCCAGGCACATTCGAGGTAAACAAGAGAATGGGGAAGAGATGGTGAACAAGGCAGACAGATCCCTGCACTCTTTCTAGTCAGGCACTCAGACAATAAGGCAGTCAAATAGAGATGTATTTCAGGACATGGTTAGTGATGTGAAGACAAGTACACATGGGGAGTGGTGAGGAGGGAAGTCTATTCTAGATAGGATGGCTAGGAAAGCATTCTTTTTTTTTTTTTTTTTTTTGGGCAGTACGGGGCGCTCTACTGTTGTGGCCTCTCCCGTTGCGGAGCACAGGCTCCGGACGCGCAGGCCCAGCGGCCATGGCTCACGGGCCCAGCCGCTCCGCGGCATGTGGGATCGAACCCGTGTCCCCTGCATCGGCAGGCGGACTCTCAACTCTCAACCACTGCGCCACCAGGGAAGCCCTAGGAAAGCATTCTTTGAGGAGATGATATTTGAACAAAGCTCTGAGCAAAATGAGGAAGCTGGTCATCAAAAGATCAGGGGAAAATATTCCAGGCAGAGAGAGAAAAGGCCAAAGCAGAAACCCTGCAGATGGAATAAGATGGGTGTGTTTGAAGACACGCAAGAAGTAGGGAGAGGGGGCAGGGGTAGTTGTTGAGAGCCTTAGGCAGAGAAAGATCATGTAGGGCCTTGCAGGCCATGGTGAGAAGCTTAAATTCTGCTGTAAGTTTGGTGGAAAAACACCAGAGGGCTTTGAACAGAGAAGAATTGTGCTGTTTATGTTTTCAAAAGAACACTCTGTCTGCTGTATTGAGAGTAGACTGCAGGGGCCGAGAGGAAGCAAGGCATCTAGTTAGAGGTGGTTATATCATGAAGACAGAAATCTGCACATACGGTCCCTGACTTAACACGATTTGACTTACAATTTTTTGACTTTATGATGGTATGAAAGCCATACACATTCAGTAGAAACTGTACTTCCAATTTTGAATTTTGATCTTTTTCCCGGGCTGGCCATATGCTCTTGTGTGATGCTGGGCAGCCGCAGCGAACCAGCCCCCAGTCAGCCCCAGATCACAAGGGCAAACAACCGATACACTTACAACGATTCTGCACCCAGACAACCATTCTGTTTTTCACTTTCAATACAGTATTCAATTAAATTACAGAAGATATTCAACACTTTATTATAAAATAGGATTTGAGTTAGATGAATAAGTGTTCTGAGCACATTAAAGGTAAGCTAGGCTACTTATGATATTTGGGAGGTTAGGTATATTAAATGCACTTCAACTTATGATGGATTTATTGGGAGGTAACCCCATCGTAAGTTGAGGAACACCTGTATTGGAAAGGTAGAGGTGGCTGCCTATAAAAGAAGGATGATGTTATTGGCCAAATGGGATGCTTGTTTGGACTTGGGTCTTTCCACTCATACTTTGCCGACAGTAGATGCTCAATAAATGCTGATGAACTGTCCACATAAAATACGGTACCTGTGCTGCTATAGAAAGCAAATCCACCGGATGCACCGAATTCCTCGATGAAGAACTGAGAAAGCGAAATATGCTCGTCAGTATTCAGGGACTTGTTTCCATGTTTCCAGTACAGCCTTAGATCCTCCTCATTGTAGGCATCTAAGACAAGAAATAACATTCTTTTTACTGGAGTAAGCTCTTGTAAGTTCCATGAGGTCTATGACCATGTTTTATACAGTTCTGTATCCCTGGGGTCTTGTCCAATGTCATGGCTCTGAAATATACGTTTGCCAATAGACTGATAATATCCACATCTTCAAAAAGAAAAAAAAACCTCCAAAACTTAGACCCCGATTACTGGCATAGTGTGGCAGCTTTTTCTGCGCCCACGTGACGCATTAAAACTCTCCTAATAGCTGTTTCCATGTCTGTGTGTACTGTGATGTCACAGCACCGCCTTTCCCTCACAGGTCTGATGCCAAGTCTTTAGGCCCCTTTAGTTTTGTAGCTCTATTGGATGAAATTCCAGAGTGAGCTGGGCTTGTACAGAATTTTCTTCTATAATCAAATACTATTATAGAGAGTTTCTAATGGATTTGGGGAGGAGCATCTATGTAGGAGACATCCATTGAGATTCCCAGCATTTTACCCACATTATGGAAAACTGCAGTCAGCTTTTAAGATACCATGTCAAAAATAGCTGGTGGGTCAAAGTAATTGACAGGGAGCTGGCTCAGATGCCCTCTGACAGGGCTTTGATTAGGAGGTTTAAGTCTAGAGCTGGGTTTTTCCAGGGAAACAAAGCATACTTAATGGAAGACTGGGATTTATACGGGAACATAAATGGCAGAGCTTTCTAAATCTGCCAGTCTCTGTTAATAGCATTAGCAAGAATACAACTTTTTAGGGAGCTATTCCTTTAAAATCATTGTGGAAACTGCAGAATATGTAGTTATCAAAGCACTTTTTCCCTTGAATCTTCTATCTTCTCATTTGAGAGACAATTTGCCATCATGATTCTTACTAAAAACCCAACCAACCAACCAACCAACCAACCAGCTGTTTTGGACAAATATATTTATCAAGATGTTTACATGCTTGTTAAGAGTATGCTTATTTATATGCAAGTAGGTGATGGTGTGTTCAGACCACACATACTCCATAGGGAAGTAAGACTTACAGCTTTCCCGTTCAAGGGAAAAATTTTGAGTGTCAAGTGGAAACCTGCTGAAATCCATAAAGCACATTGCTGTAACAGTTATCCTATAGCAAGAATGAGAAAAAGAAAACTGCAGATCATTTAACCACATGGTCAAATAAGCAATGCAGCATTGAAGCTCTCTGACACTTTTGAGTGCCTTTCAAGACTAATGCAAAACAGGTGTTACCATCTTCTTTCCAAGTAACCCATAAGGAAGCAAACCCAGGAAGGTAGGTGATTTGCGTAAGACACAGTTAACGAGTGAATTCCTGCCCTAAAAATTGCTTCTGATCTCACCATTTCCTGCGCAGCTTCCTCTATATTTTCTGGGTGTTTTCAGAAAAACACACTTCAAAGTGAGAAGGCTTTTAAATAGATTTAAATATTTTCTGCTTTCTGGAAGATGCAAACTTAAATAGTTTCCAGTAATAAAGAGCTGGAATGGTGGTAATAAAAACCTATGAGTAAAGGTTTCTTTCACAAAGCAAGTTTACCTGAGGAAATTATCTTTCCAGGAGTGAGGGGAAAGCCTGGAGCATTTTCAGTTATAGATCTACGTGCTATTAAGCATGTAATTCAGGTGCTATTAAGTGAAAGGCTTGCATACTGATGAGGACTGCTTTTTCAAATTTTATGTCCTTTTAGCTTTTCCTGGCTTCAGGCAGAGGCTGTTGAACTTTGGTACCCGCAATAGCAGATTGGAGGTTCCTTAAAAGGCCCCTGAGCAAGTCTGCAAAAAACAAAGGCAACAGCTGGTCCTACCGATGGTGTATCCAAGTTAATCAGAGGAGTAGAACCATTTTATCTGCCGGGGGTTGAATTCTACTGTCAATAGTCATGCAGCCAAATGCCAAGCCAGGGAGATGTCTGGATAACTTTGTGTCACAAAACATATTCATTTTGGCATCTTCCTTGTACTTTAAAGCTGGAAAGGACTTCTGAAATCTTTGAGTCTACTTCCTTCAGAGTACATACGAATAAATTAAAAACCAAGGAGATTAGGCAGGCACTATTAAAGAAAAAACTATGCATGATACTTGTTAAAGAATGGGAAGGCAGACTCTATTTAGGAGGGCTACTATAATTATTTTTTTAATGAGTAACAAAGATTGGGCTCAACTCCAAATATAATGAGTGGGAATTTATAGTGAAGGAAGAGGGAGTGGGGTGGAGGTGCGGAGGTCAGTGGATGAACAATTACCAAGAGGAAACATCAGGGCTTGGGGGATTCTGGCTAAATGGACCTAACAGGATTCTTGCTGAAGGGGGGCCAGGGTGATCAGATATCAGCTGGGGGTTAGGGGGTGGATGAGGAACCTCATCAGATATGGAGGGTGATCAGATACTGAGAATAGGGGAGCAGGGCCTAGGTGAGAAGACGGTTCAGAGGAGACTGAGTAGAATTTGGTCAAAGAGAGAATCTTTGTCAGTAGACGGTGTCAGAACCAAGCCTGAAACCAGGTGACTGGCTGGGCTTCAGCTGGCTCTGCTGTCAGCTGAAATAGCTGTGCAGACAACAGTTTTGAGTCCTTCTGTGTTGGGGGATCTCCAAGACCAAGCTCAGGTTCAATGTTTCACTAGAAGGATTCACAGAACTCATCAAAGCTGTTATACTAACAGTTAATGGTTCATTGTAATGAAAGGATACCAGTTAAAATCAGCAATGAAATAAGATGCATAGGGTAGGTTCCAGGAGAGACCAGGAGCAAGTTTCCAGCTGTCCTGTTCTAGTGGAGGTATATGGACAGTGCTTACTTCTCCTAGCAATGATGTGTGACAACATGCACGGACAATTGCCAACCAGGGAAGCTACATAAGCTTTGGAGTCCAAAGTATATATTAACTGAAGGTTGGTCACATAGTTATGGCTGACTTTAGCTCCTCCAGAGATCAAGTTGATACTGTGTGGCTCAAGGCCTCCGGGTAAACAAAGACATACTTATCAGGCAGGATATTCCAAGGGCTTGTAGGTTATTTCCCAGGAACCAGGCAAGAGCTAAATCTTTCTTTGGAATGTGCAGGGTAAGGATAATCCCCCGAGTTAATTCTCCAGTGGATATCGTCTCATCAAAATAATTAATTTAAATCAGTTGATTCCTTGGCCAGATGCTGCCAATCGGCTTCTGATTCCTAGGAACGCTTGATTCCAGTACTTATTAGAGTCCTATGTTACTTCTGATTTAAAAGTCCTATGGAAAGTAGTATTTTCCTTTAATTTCATTTTTTTTAAAAAAAAAGCATATGAAACGTCTGGTAATAGCACCTTTGTACTAAAGTGAGCAAGGTGTTTTTAATGAACAAAAGAATCTGTATTGGTTTCCTATTTCCATTGTAACAAATTACCATAAACTTGGTGGCTTAAAACAACAGAAATGTATTCTCTCACAGTTCTGGAGGCCAGAAGTCTGAAGTTAGTATCACTGGACTGAAATCAAGGTGTTAGAAAGGCCCTGCTCCCTCCAGAGGCTCTAGGGGGGAAGTTCATTCCTTGCTTCTCACAGCTCCTGGTAGCTGCCAGCATTCTTGGGCTGGTGGTTGCATCACTCCAATCTCTGTCTTCATGGTCACACTGCTTTCTACTCTTCCATGTATGTCAAATCCTTCCTCTGCTTTTCTCTTACAAGGGTACGGATGATTGCATTTAGGACCCATCCAGATAATCCAGAATAATTCCCCTATCTCAAGACCCTTTATTTAATCACATCTGCATAGATCCTTTTTTTTTCCATATAAAATAACCTTCACAGGTTCCAGGGATTAGGGCATGGATAACTTTTGGGAAGCTAATTTTTTTGTTTTTTTTCAGTTTACTACTGAATCCTTCTGGGATTTCTAAGACATAAAAAAAATGAATTGCTTGGATTTACCAAACATTTTTAGGATTACCTATGGTAAGCCACTCAGTAAGCACAGGACTCAGGCTTAAAAACATATGGTATATTAAAGATGGAGGGATATTATAGCATAGTGTCAGAACAAATGTTTTAAATTAAAAAATTTTTTTCATTTTCAAAATTTTTTAAATGAAGAAACTAGGGGTAACTTGGATGATGACTATATATTCCTGTGAAAAATGAAGGAGATAGTTAACAAAATTATTTAGTTGATCCAAGATTCCAAGACTGCTTGCTGGGGTGCAGGGTGGGGTGGAGTTGGTGAGGAGGAAAAGTAGTTTTGTATACTTATAAAATTGTGGGCCAGATTCTTAAGGATTTCCATAATTCAGCTCCACTCTGTCCAACCTTATTTCCTATCATTCTCCAATACATGCCCAGAGTGGGTACAGTTAGACTAGGAAACCATTCTTTAAAACCTGGAAGTTAGAACCAGGAAAAATCACATCTTCTGCTTGTGTCCCAAGCTCCAGCATTACTAAATACAGCAATATTGGGAGTTTAGCCTGAAGTGAGGCCCATCATCTTTGGTGTAGATGGTGTGGTATAAGGAAGCCAAAGGCAGTAGACAGCCCTCCTTACCTGACGCTGAAGAGGACATTTCCATCAGGGTGTACACACAGCATGATGTTCTCCACAGTTGTATCATGGATGAAGGATCTCTTCGAACGGACAAAAAAGATATCAGGCACCCAAATCTTTTTGATTCATCTGTGATCAAAAGTCATGCTTTTGTTGGTTTTGCTGGGAAAGGCAAGTCTTTCATCTTTCCAGTAATGCCTGAGATAAAAAGTCATTGTAAAGTCCTAGGTAGAGAGAAAAAGAGACAAGTCAAGGTGAGTAGGAATATGGTTCAGGGTGACCAATCAATACTATTAGTCTCGATTGGTTTCCATGGGTGTTAGTGACCTGTCCGTGAATAGCTTATATTTTCAGGTAGATTTAGAATGAAGCAACTGAGCTTCAGTCACAGAGCCTCTCCCTCACCTGGACTCTGGTGAATGTGGAGAGTTTCTGAAAACCATCAAGTATTCAAGTTGGTGAAGGGAAACAGGTTATAACTGGGAAGCATTTCTACCTAAGCACTCTGGTAAATCACCTAAAGAGATCTCAGAAGAAAGGAACCTGAAACTCCATGGTCTGGTATTTTATTTTGATTTTTTTCTCATTGTAAATAAATATTCACTTTTGTGATTGATTTTGTATCCATACATTTATATTGTTTTAAAGAAGCCCTCCCCAAGTTGAAAAAACTACAGTCCCACAAAAACCTGGACACAGCCTTTATTGGAGCTGTTAGTGGAAAGCATGTTTTCAGAGGTTCTGAAAAAGTGACAATGATCTCCCTCTTCTTGAGAGACAGAAAGAATGCCAGGAGATGGCGGTGCTGGAATTTTAGTGTGCAAAAGAATCACCTGTGAATTCATTAAAATGGCACATTCCCCAGAAGCTAGTTCCCAGAGATTCTGATCCAGTATGGCTCAGGTATTTGAATTGTTAATGTGTATTCCAGTTGTAAGGAGGTAAGGATGAGGGGGAAAAGCTATATTAACATTATGTTAGCAGAAAAAAAAAAATGGTTAGTCAATAATTTTAGTTTTATTTGGCTCTCAGATACGACATTAAATATTTTGTTTGAACAGAAATTCTCCTATCTTCGTCCAAGTCATTGGGTGTGGGCAACGACAACGTGTTTTACATTTCCCAAATGCTTACTTCACACTATCATTTATTGCCCAACAACACTCCTATTTTTCTTGAAATAACACGTATAATAGAACTTTGACATTTATTACACAGGCAAAGAACAAATCTCAGTAAACCACAAATAAGTCATCAAGCAATGATGAGCTCATTTGTTTTTCTTAGGATCAGAATAGAGGTACATTGTATTATTGCTCTGCGTTAATCTGGGAGCATCAGCCCTGTGTAATTTTGGATTACAGTGAGGGTGAATAAATAGAATGGTTCATTCATTACTGTAACACTACTCCACAGGGAATCCTGTGGGTTACTGCATGGATTGCTTTAATGAGCATATATTTGGTTTTAGATGCTCAGTCTGATCAGAAGGGCACTGGGCAAATACTGAGCCTATGAAGTCAAATGGCAGACATTGGTATATACATGTCAGTGGTACATCAGCATCACCACTAGTTGGCACTATCATGAGAAGTGGGCTGAACAGCCTGTTTTGAGGAGAGCAGGACAAAACTAAAAGGGATCGAAAGTGAATTCAGGGTGGGACAAGGGAGCATGGGAAAATGATAAATGAGAAGCAAAAGAAGCCAACACTGGAGATCACCGATGATTTTTTCAAATTAGGCATGGAGAATGCAGACCAGTTTTTGCTGATACTGAGTACTAAGGCTGAACTTATTCAGGAGAAAAGGATGAGGTCCAGTTTTGGGGGCTGTGGAGTAGACACAACGAGATTTTTAGATGCAGACTGGGTCATTCAGGTATCACTTAGAGATTATGCCAGGAGAGGCGAAATGAGAGCCTGCTTCTGGAGCACAACAGGCTCAAGAAAATGTCACTAAAAGCCACTTTTGGTAAGGGAAAAGCCAACGCTTTCTAATCAAGGCATTTTTGAATAGTGGGTACTAGTGGTGCTATTCCCTCTGGGAGTAGGGTGCTTAAAATGAAGGAAGTTTCATTTAAGGTTTGATATTGAACTGAAATAAATATTAAATTAGATAATGACAAGGACTAGAAGGACATTAACTGAAGACTGAAACCAGATGTTGGGCCATAGAAGATCTTGTTTAGACTTTTCTGGAATTTTTATGTGTCCTGTAATTTTCATTTAGTTAGCATTTGGATGGCAATGACTAGTTGAAGGAATCACTATAAATAAAAATATTAATTAAGTTTACATATGAAAAGATTATTTGCTCTTTCAATTTTAAGTGATTTATATTTTCTAGGTCCTGCTTCCTTAAGAGATCCCTACTTTATTCTTTCTCTTTCATTCTCTTCTTTTTTTAAAAAAATTATCTTTGTGGTAATTGCATACTAAAAATAATATGTAGAATCTAAATTTCAATACTTAATTCTATGAAAAACACTATATATAAGCCACAGTTCATATATCAAAAATACTTTTATTCCAAAAAATATCTCAAAGCAACTTTCGAAAATTTCACAAGAACACACATGTAAAAGATTCCAGAAAAGGGAATAAAATGCAAGGATTAACATACATGAAATGACCAGATTAGATAAACAACAAACTAAATCTTTCCAGATGGAAAACGGAGTTTGAAACTAATTCATATCTTCTCTATTCATGGAGGGGGTATTCCCTGGTTTTATTTTTATCACCCTCTAGCCCCCTGCAAAAACCAAGCCTCCATATTCAAAGTAGAAAATGAAAGACAATAAGCGTTTGGCTAAGAGTTGCAACTTCAGATGTCTCCCTGGATCAGGACCTGGCAGGAAACACCAATGAACGAAGCAGGATGAACCTAAGAGGAAAGCCAGGCATGGGTTCCAGGGCAAACTGGAGGGCACAGGCCCTACCTAACGGCATTCACAAACTGTCTAAAACTTGGGGGGAGGTAGGAACAAATCCAAAACTGAAACCACAACCAAAACCAAAACATGTTCAAAGCTGCATCCTACCAGTGAGTACCTGTTAGGGCCCTTGTCATTAATAGTTGCACCTAGTGTAATGTTGATAGGAAACAAAAGAAAGACAACTACAGGAGATGATGGAAAAGACAACACAACTGAAGAGAACAAAATTAGATGGAAAGAGTGATTCAAATATAAGAATATACATCACTTAGGTAAGAACAAGGAAATGGACGTTGAAAATTTGAAACTATAACGCACTTTTTATTTGGCATAGAAAAATATACTAAAATGGGCTACACAAAGCTCTGAGACATTAACAAATTAACAGAATAGTAGTAGGTAAAAAGGAATTACATCAATAATGTATATGTTTGTGCAAGTAAATATTATTCTTAAAGTACCTGAAAAAAGCTTAAAATTACTTAAATGAAACACAATTCTGGTAATTATGTAGACTCGGTAGTTCTAAAGTGGGAGTAGAGAAAATGAAATGGAAAAATTATGGTAGGGGATATTAAAACATAAATATAGCTAAAATGGTAAAACTGGGTTAGGGGGAATGGGGAAGAGGAGACAAAAAAGCAAAGCATATAAAATGGCAAAGGAAACAGGAAAAGGCTAAAAGGAAAATGATAATAATCAATCAGTTTAAAGTTTTAAGTGATGGTGGTTTGCAAGTACTACTCCATAAAAATGACAAATATTTCAGTGCAAAAATAAAACAAGGGCAGTCTCTTCTGGATTTCTAGAAACTCTAAGGGAATGGACAAACTTTTCTTAATTTAAATTTTTAGTCCTATGAGTTTAAAAAATCCTTTGTTCTCTGCTATTGTTTTTCTACAGATAAGCAAAGTTAGTATGAACTGAAAACTCTGGAAGCATTCTATCAACCCAGATTCAGGTGTTTATCATTTTGTGGGTAGGGACTCATGGTTGTGACTTCATATTTCACATATATTATGATCACCCTTTCTTCTTGTGCAATTGTTTCTGGTTCATGTCACATAGCTAAATATATCATGTCCTTCAGTGCTCCACCACTGTAAAGCCATTAGAAGGAAAAGAGAAGAGGAGGAAAGGAATGAGAATTTTAATCAGAGGTAGAAAGTGGTGGATAGAAGAGAGTAAAGCAACTTCAACTTTATTAAGCAAAGTAGGAAAAATAAGTAACATACATAATTAAGATGATTTATTAAAACACCAGTGATTTTGACACTATTGAGACTCTATCCTTTCAGAAAAAGTATCTCATAGAGAAACTTACCATGTTAATCTCTGAAATGCTGTCAATGCTTTCAACTTGGACATCTATAACCCACAGGCACTGGAGATCCTTCAGAAAGAAGAATGGGTAATATAACGAGGAATCAGGATTATTTTGGAAACATTTAAAGTGGAGAGAGATCAATGTTGCAAATGAATTATTTTTCAAGTTTTAACAATAAATCTCTCCATTGTCTATTGATATATTATTACACATTCAGGGAGTGGATGTAGTCATGGAGTTCATGACTTTGGTAAATATGGGAGCCTTTCCTCCCTTGCCAAAAATTCAGCCTTTTTCACTTGGGCAGTGCATGGCAGGCTAGAGGAACACACTGCTAGTACAGTGCTACACAGGGATGCTGCACATTCAGAAATGTCGCTACCCAGATCATCAGTAACCACAACCTGCATTTGGGATAAAGCAAATATCCTTTGAAATGTGTGGCTGAGAGTATTCTGAAAGTCAGAATTGGAGCAACTTCAGACAGACAAGTGCTGAGACTGGTGTGCCGTTGGGTCTCACAGAATCAGGCTCATGCACCCAGAGAACAGACTGAGACCAAGACATTTCCTTGTTACACCTTACAGAGGGTTTCATCTGTTCCTGTGTGAGGGGATGCTGATGTTAATAACTTCATTATTTAGTATTGTGTATGAAATTTGATGTATATATATGTTCAAATAGTTTGTATATTTATACATATAGTCTTCGTATGTTTTCTTTCCATGGTGACCAATTCTCAAACTTTATAGTCCCGAGTTAAAAAATGCTTTCAACTGTTGTTGAAAAAACAGAAATCTTGCCTAGATGGATCCCAGGTGGCTGTTTCAGTCAAGATTCTGGGATTTAGAAGGGACTGGCCAGAAAAACTTCCTTCCTTATTGTCTGGATGTGCTACATGTGACATATATGTGCATATAATTTAATAAGGCACCTAATTATTGTGTTTTAAATGCACACTATAAAACAAGATATGCCTCGCCAGTCCCTGTGCACCCTCTATGACCCCCCTGCCCCATTAATTGGCTGATGTTACCTTCACTTTATCGACCCAGATTCCCTCTTCTATTCCATAAGTCTAAACCCTCAATATCCTTCTTTACTTACAAGGGTATCAGCTGGCCAGGCACTGGGCCTGTCACTAGAATATATTTCTGTTTCAGGCTTTAGGAATACCTTACTTGCACCTTAACCACCAACTACTTCCTGTCATTGGACCAATTACTTCCTGTAATGTTAATAATGACAATTCTATTAAAATTTTGTTTAATGATAATTATGATTAAGCATTAACTTGGGAACAGCTCAGTATTATTCCTTTATCAGCTTTAACTCTGGTGCTTTTATTTTGTTTGGTTGTCTTTTTTCTTTAATTGGTAGCGCTATCAAAATAAAAAAATCATGGAAAGATCTCATCCCTGCCCCTATCTGGCCTTTCAGGATGAGTAAATATTCCCATTAACTCCAATACTCCAAGGGACTGAAGGGATTGGACAGGTCTTGGACAGGGAGCAGAATGTCCTGGAGAAAATTCTGGCATTAGAGTCCAGACCAGAGTTTGAATCCAGCTCCATGACTCACGTGTGATCTCGGGTCAGTAACATCTCTAAGCTTAGTGTCCTCAGCTATAAGATCCAGTAGTAGTACTCACCTTGGAGACTTACTGAAAGACTAGAAATAATATACAGTAAACTTAATTGATACTCAGTAAATAGCACAGAATAAATGTTACTCTTACTGCAATTCAGCAAAAATGTGAAACTGTTCCTAGGACTGCAAACCACAATTCCCAATCTTACACTCAAACATTTAGACAATCAGTCCACTCTTCACTAAAAAATGATCCAGTGTTTCTTACAGAGAGCTTATTTTAGGATAAAACCTGAACACAACTTGGATTCAAGATCTCATGACTTGTAAGTAGGACCTATTTACTGATGACTATCTCTGCAATCCAGGAACAGTCTTATAAAGCCACCATACAAGGACATTCATGCCACCACTGGACAAGCACTGGGCCCTCGGGGTTGTTTGAAGGCTGGACTGACAGTGGGGTAATAGTATGGCTTGTCTCTTAGGAATGGGTTCCTGGAAACATCTTAGATTTCTTCTTTCTTCCCTCTCATTTTTTCTATTCTTGTGGGGATCTTCCATCTCAAAGGAAAGTGTTTGTCTTCAGATGCTGTCTAACCTCATTTTTGTCTCCTTTGCATTTGATGCCCAAGTGTACTTTCTCCTGGGTCTAGGCCTCTGTACTCTGGTTTGACATTCTGAGGACAGAGTGGAGGGTGAAGGCGTGTAAAGGCAAGGTGCAGAATCATAGAATTTTGGAGCTGGATAAAAGCTCCAAAGATCATTCTTTTTGTAAAACAGGAGCTGAGTCCCAGAGAAAAAGTGGCAATAAAGCAAAAACAAACCAAACCAAAACAAAAAAACATGAAATTTGTAGCCACGTAAACCCGAGTTAAAATTAAATGTCTGGGGCTTCCCTGGTGGTGCAGTGGTTGAGAGTCTGCCTGCCGATGCAGGGGACACGGGTTCGTGGCCCGGTCTGGGAAGATCCCACGTGCCGCGGAGCGGCTGGGCCCGTGAGCCATGGCCGCTGAGCCTGCGCGTCCGGAGCCTGTGCTCCGCAACGGGAGGGGCCACAACAGTGAGAGGCCCGCGTACCACACACACACACACACACACACACACAAAATTAAACGTCCGTAAATCCTTAACTCCTCTAAGCCTCAGTTTGCTCATCTGTAAAATAGGGGAAATAAGTATATGGTATGTGCCTAATTGGGTTGCTGTGAAACAAAATGAAAAAATGCATGTTAAGTCCTTAGCCTAACCTAACATTCAAATGTCTTAACCAACTTATTCAGTATCTATTTGATGTGTAATACATAGAACACGAAATATAACACTTTCATAAATACTCTTATTAATTCTCTGTGTAAAGCATTTGGAATATAGTAAAAATTAAATGACTATTAACTATTACAGTTAGGTGTTGATTTCCCAGGATCACTAACTAGGTAGTGGCATAGATGTTTATACTGCTTTATAAATATATATATAAAGCTAGATCATCGATCTGGTTTTATGCATGCTGGAATAAGGAGAGCTAAATGAAAGTTATTCATCTTATTTGTGAGGTGCATTTAAAATACTTTATATATTATCTAATGTTATTATTATAGCCACTTCATTAGTTAGCTGGGTAGAATCAATCTTAACTCCATTTGATATGAGGGAACTCATGCTCAGCAAGGTTGAAGAGCTTGCCTGCAACCTAGAGCTGTTTAATGCAGGAATACAGCCAGGTCCCTCTGGCTCCCAATCTGGTCCTCCTGTGTGAAAGCAAAGACTACACAAGCGGCTTTTAGAGCTTTAGCTTTTGTTTTGACTCAGTAGTCAGTATCTAGATGCTGAATTGTTTTCACTTTAAAGAAACAAAGAAATCATCAACTATAAAACTAAAACCAAAAAACCCCTTAGTTATGGGAGATGTAAAGGGTAGGGAAAGTGTAAATAAAGAAAATGAGCTGCAATTTATAACCCAAGTTAAACAAAAAGCTCCCTTAAATATGTATCCTCCTTTTCCACATAATGAGTCAATTAATCTTCTAATGCTTTATACAAGACACTGCAGTAGCAGCTGGTTTTAATGTTAAGGCTAATTAGGAAAACATTAAGGCAAGAGAAGTGCTGAAGTTACATTTAGCTCAAGAGGAAAGAAGTATGTGTGTGTGTTTGTGTTATGGACAAGTATAAAGAAAGAGAAGATAAATTTAAGCCTGTCTTTTATATCCTGCAGGCTGATTTTCCCAGGAAGGCAGGCTTGAGAGAACAGAGAAGGGGTCACCTGTATAAAAAGTGGTTCTGACCAAGACAAGAGAAGGTTAAGGATTGTATTTCACAGGGCTACCAGACTGACATTTCTGACTGAATTTATGGATTTTTCTGCCTGAACTGACTGAACACACAAGCCATTTGGATACCATTTAGCCCCAGTCCATGATTGTCAGAAAAATTTCTTAATCGTGGGATGATTTGCCACCTGCCACTAAATAGTACATATAAATTGCATTTTTAATACCCCACAAAGTAGCCTCAGGAAAAAAAAATGTTTTAAAAATTCTTAACATGTATCCCTAACAGATCAAGAGAAGTGAAATTTTAAGATCAGTTTTATGGTTTTCTGAGGGATGAGGATGATATATAGGAGGGAGAATGGAGGCATAAATGCTTTAAGATAAAAGTAGAGGGTCGGCTCTTGGTAATCTATGACAGTGCTTGTCAAATTGTAAAGCGTATTCAAATCACCTGGAGATCTTGTTAAAATGCAGATTTTGATTCAGAAAGCCTGGGGTGGGGCCTGATCTTCTGCATTTCTAACTAACTCCCAGGTGGTTCTGCAGCTGGTCCTTGGACCACTTTGAGCTACAAAGTGTAGCGTGCTTGTTTCAAGGTCCAAATTCAAGGACGGTAATTTTTCTCTTAATCTTTCTGGCTTTCAATGGTCTAAAATAGGCCCATAAAACCCGTTCCTCTAGGATAGTAGTTCATTTAATTGAGGAACCTAACCTGACAGGAATTAGGGCAGCTTTTTGAATCGGTATTGAAGAGAGTACATCATTTTGAACTGCTAACCGCTACTCGGGAGAGGCCCATTCCAAGCCATTCCTGTGCGTCTGGAGCCCCCTAATGGCTCAAAGGACCCATAGCCCGGCAAGTTTAACTTTGTAAGATTTTCCCCAACTAAACCATGAGAGGGAAAAGATTTTAGAAACTCTTTATAGAATCATAGAGACCAAGGTGCAGAATACCCAAGTAAGAGTTGTAGAGTATATTCTCCAAACTTTGGGCAAAACTTTGGGGGAAATAAACGGTCTGTTGGGAATGGTAGTTAGATTTCGGGCATCTTTTGGAGAATTGTCATCCTTAATGACACATCTGAGAAGTAGTGATGTAAGACAACAACAGCAAAAAACCAAAAACAAAAAAAAAAAAAAAAAGAAGATTAAAAAAATAGACCTATAATTAAAAAAAAACCAAAACAACAGAAACGCACACATCTTTAAACCTGATTGATTTTGAGGCTTCTAAAAATCTTAAATTAGGTTCAATAAGTGTGAGAAATGCTCTGGAAAACAAACAAATTCTACTCACCATGATTTAATCTGTTGCTGATAATCTAATTCAGTAGTTATCACATGTGATCTCGGATCAGCATCACCAAGGAACTTATAAGACGTGACAATTGGTGACCCCACTCAAATCTACTGAATCGAAACCTCTGTGGGGGAGGCCCAGTAACCTGGCTGTTAAGGAGCCCCCAGGTGACTCTGATGCTTGCTAAAGTTTGCATCACTAACCTAATGAAATCAAAACCATACCCTTAGAACTGCGACCCAATGGATTCCAGGAAATGAGGACAAAAACCAAACAACCCTCAACATAACAGCTACCTGATGTACTTTTAAATTTTCCCTGTTAACAAATGAGTTTTCTAGGGTACCTACACGCCTGTTGTGCTTCCCTTTGTCATAACCACAACATGATGAGTATCAAGTTCTCCTCACCCCACGCTGAGTACTTGAAGCATTGGTTATTTATCGAAAAGCGGTACCTGTTCTACTGCTGGGGGATCCTGCCTCCTCACCACCACGCTCACTTCTCTCACCTCCATATCTCTAGCATGAAAAGTTGTCAGTTCAGGAGTTGTGGGTGTGGGAGACCTTAGGTCAATGACAGGAGAGTCAGGATGGATTTAGCAGTAAGATGGAGAGTTCAGTTTACCTTGTGGATGTTACCACATCCTGTGCATCTCTGGGAAACTTGGTACCCTCAGTGATGCAACTACATGCACAGTAAACAATCTGACGGGAGGAAAGGCTTTCTTACAAGTGTATCCTTCTAATGTGGTTTGCTTCTGTTCTCATCAGCCATTGCATCTTGGTTCCACCACTTACTGCTTTTTTCATGGCCTTGAGAAAATTTCTTGACTTCTCTAAGCCCCAGTTTCCACACTGGAATATTAGGGATCATGATAACGCCTACTTCATAGGGTCACTGTGAGCGTGGAACGAGACAGTGCATTAAAGGGCATTCCAACATTTTGATCACTTTTTGTTGCTAGGAGTAAATAAAGGAAAAATCCTCAGCAGAGGTGGTTCGAGGGAAGCCGTGGCGTTTGGCAGACTAGTTCTTCAACAAAAGCCAGGCATTGCAGCTCATAAGAATGTTCAACAAGACTTTATGAATATTATCATATAACCCAACTTAACAAATTTTAATTAAAACAATATGTTGCTGTATGGGCAAGGTATATACATTCACTATTTTTGAACACACACTATTTATTAAACACACTATTTATGATAATGTATATAGAAAAAAATGAGTCTTTTTGGTTAATTTAAAATGCATAAATTATCAACTGTTCTTATTCAAGAGAAGATCATTGTAAAAGGTTTTTCGTTTTTTTTAAATTGGTGGTCTTGTGTTTTGGTCTTAATTCCTTCAAATTTTCAACTCAATTTTTTGACAGTGCAATGGACTGTCAAAATGACTGTGAGTTTTGTAAAGATAATACTCACCTCCAAATCCGGGTCTCACTGCAGAATTCTGGTCCTCTATATGGAGAAGTTGCTAATACCTCAGGGGCCACACTTTGGCACTGTCATCATTCCTCATTCTAGTTTCTTGTTTGCTGTACCTCCAAGGGAGAAAAATGTTTCTGAGATACATATGCTTCTGGATATTTTGATTTAGGTTAGCTTTCTGTGTTCAACATGATACTCTAAAATATACACATAAAAGCTCATTTTCTCAGTTCATATTACATATAGCCAAAGATCTGCCAGCATTTATTGTTTAGTATCCAAGGGTGGGGCAGGTAAGCAAATCTTGGAGCACCTAAGATGATAAACTGAGTTTGGATGTGATCCTGACAGGCAATGTTTCTCAGAATGTGGGTTATAGTAGGAAAACCTGGTTACTAGCACCTGGGTGGAGGTGATCAAGATTCAGATCCACGGACCCCAACCCAGATCAACTAAACCAGAACCAGAGGAAACAGGGCCTAGGCATCTGCATTCAATGTGCTACCTAAGTGATTCTTAGAGTCACTGAAGTTAAACTACCTCTTGCACTAAGACAGTAAAAAAAAAAAAAACATGAAAAATTGTAGACTGATGAAAATAGTGTTTTACAAAGACAGAATGTGCAAAAATTGTGGGTGCTGGTTGAGATTAGAGGAAGTACCCCTATGGCAGGTTCTGGAACCTGAGAGAAGGCGATGGGCATGGATGGAGAGGAATCCCAGGGAAAAATGGATGATCTGACAGCTGATTGGACCTAAGGTCAGGTCCAGCTGTGAAGCAGGTGCAGCCTATTTTCATCTGCAGTTTTCTAGGGCAAAGGCAAAGTGTGTGGCCTCTCCCTTGTGTGTGGAGTCCTGATCTGGGAGTGAAGCCCGTTCCTCCCTGGGTCTTTGAACTCTGGCAAGTTACTGGGCCTCCCTGACTCATTTCCTGTGCTGTGACACATACCTCCCAGACGTATTCTAAGTGTGGCGGCAGAATATCTGTGGAAGCGCACACAGCTCCTCTGTATGTGACATGCTGCTGTCTCCTCATCCCCAGTGCCCGAGACCTAGTTCACTGCCTCTTCCAGAAGAACGTTCCTGTCACCATCACCGTCATCACTGTCAGCAGTAGCAATAACACAAGACACTGAGGGGTCTTCTAGGTGAATTCTAGTTACTCTGAATTCCTGACTGACTTTTGCATTGATACAATGCAAATGTTTCTTCAGGAAACACACGTAAAATCTTAACGTAAGACTCATGAACGCAATTTCCTAACTCAATAAAGTGACTTTGATTGTGGGAATTTCACATCCTGAAGCGGCTGGTTTAAGAAATATGTCCAGGCTTATGGGCACCTCAGATCACCTAGTATGGTCTTCAAATAGAGAAGTTTCTGGCTGAAACCCTCAGAGATTTATGTATGTATTTTTGCCATTAATAGAAATGGCGAAGTTGGAGGAACAAATCTGTTTTGAGTAGAAGACAAATGAGTTTGATTTTAAACATAAGTCATTTTATCCTATGAATAATTGAACACATAGAACTATTTCTTCCAAGGATCTCTTAACTAGAAAACTTCTTTCAGGGAGCTAGGATGAACCATTTATTGAAAAAGTAATAGCAGCTAACTTTTATTAAATGCCTACTGTGTTCAAGGCCCCCTACCAGATGTTTTGTAAATACTATCTTTGGGGTGCATCTGAATCACCAGGTTTGCTGGGGCCCATGCCCAGATTTTCTGATTCCACAGTTTTAGGGTATGAGAATTTGCATTTATAACAATTTCTCTGGAGAACTACTGGTCTGGAAAATAGCAGACATTTTATAAAAGCTAGCTAGTTGTTATTATTTTATGAAAAGTGGCATGTAACCTTGGGTGGAAATTCATGGAAATTTGTGAACTTCTTCAGTAATATACACAACAAAACAGCAATCTCTAATACTCTTTTCAAAAGCATACCCCTCCATGAGATTGGTAGGGATAAATCTTAATTAAGAATCCCCAGAACAATGAACATGCAGCCTGCTATGAAAGGCACTCTTGGCAGTACCTGAAATCACACACACCTTTTTTTACCTGAGGGCTCTTCTGATGTACAGTGAGATGTCCCATCTTTATTTATTTTTGACTTTATTTATACATCTACTTCTCAAAATATTTATACATCTACTTCTCAAAGAGGTTTATGTGGCTTAGATACCCTCTAAAAGAATTTTGAAAACCTCACACATATTTAAGTAGACACCTACAATTTTTTCATCATAAAAGTTAAAATTACTTAAATATTGATAATAATTGAAAATAAAACATATTCCTCCTTTTAATGTATCCAATGAACCTAAAATACCCACTTTATGCATTTTAAAATACATGAATAAACTCCTCTTTAAAAACCAGAAGTTTTATCTCATTCCTTGTTTTCTTGGAATTTGTATTTTATTTTATCTCCATTTTATTTGAAAGTTCATTCGGGTTTTTCCGTAAGATGTTACGGAAAAAGCCGAATGAACTTTTTGGCCAATCCAATATTTCCTTCATTGAATTTTATCACCCCATCATACTTCTTTGCAAGAATATATGTATACATATTGAAATCATCTTTTTTAGCCTCTGTGACTATTGCAAATGGAGCAAAACATAATGCATATAAATGTTGATAAATACTTATTAAAATTATGAATTAAATTTTATAGGAAAAGTATTTCTTAATAAAGTGATGGTACATTTTCCCTATTTTGTGTATCTGTATATGGATATTACTTATTGCACTTGTTATTTCTTGTCTTTTTGATAAAGCCCTTCTAATAGGTATGAGGTGATATCTCATTGTAGTTTTGATTTACATTTCCTGATCCTACTTTTCACTTCTATAGATGAAAATATTGAAAAACTTTGTTGATATATATGTAAGTACATGGAATTGCAAGAAATTTTGTTTCAGGAATGTAACTTAATTATTTAAATTCCTTCTTATTTTCCAAAATTCACGTTGTGGTCTATCATCAATTATTTCTAATGATTTGTAACCTGACAAATTAATTAGGTTATTACTTCAATATTGATGAACACAAAAAAAAAAAAAGAAAAGAAAAAAGAAAATCACGCAGTTTGGAAAAGGATGTGTTATTTAAAGTAAAGTCATCCATTACCTCAACAACAATATCTGTAAAGGCTTCTTTGTACCTGGGAGGATTTTATACACTGGTGTAATACACATAGTTAAGATTCAGGAACAGGGAGAGGCATGCCTTTATTTTGCCAAATGGGACAGAGCAATCATTAAAGGGAGGCTACAGAGAAGATTGCAGGCAAGTTTTCAGGAGGATCAGTTTTAGGAAAGAGGTCAGAGGAAGTCAGAGATCCAGAAATAATTATTTTAAAACTATCCATGCCCACGTGCCCCTCTGATAGCTTGCATGTACCCTAAGGGGAACATTATACTCTAGGAGTATAAGTGCCCTATTTGAAGACCTCTGGCTTATTAAAAAAAAGACATATATAGAAAGGTTAATAAAATGAAGACTGAAATAGAACAAAGGCAAGAAAAGTAAATATGCTTAATAAGGGGATTAATTTATGACAGAGAATCAGATTTAGCTCAGAGCTTTCTGGCCTGATTCCATATATGTATAATTTTAAGCCCCTTTGTCTTCTGCCCTCTTCCCTTTCCTAGAAAAAATGATTTTGTTTTTAGTAGTTACTGAAAGAAATCTTTTGGATGACTTCTGTCTGAGAAGAGGGTCTTCTAGAAGGCTAGGTGCCAATGGGATAGAACAAAGAAATCTCAACTCATGGAAGAGTCTTGCATCATTACAGCATTCTTAATCTTTATAGCATTCTTAATCATTACAGCATTTTTATTCTTTCCCCACAAAGGAAGATTATGAACATTGTTTGAGAAACAACAGGTAAGGCTCGGTAATAGTTATCACTTTTCTTTTTGAGTTAGAACCTTTTTCTTTCTGGATGAAACAAAGGAACCATATTTTTATGTTCCCCCTTCTTGTCAGTATCAGAAACTTTACTATAATTTTGTCACTAAGAAAGTGTGGGTTCAGGGGGAAGGAAGGGCTGGATTTTGAGTGGTTTCAGGGGAATAAAGGGGTCTTTGAGGAGGATATACTAGGCAGAGAATTAAAAAGTACCAGAACTGCTTGAGGAAAAGCAAATACATCCAACTCATTCTGATACATTAGTGTTTAGTCAGTGGAAAGACAAAAACTCATTTTAACTGAGTCATACTCAGCTGGTTGCTTTACCAAACTGCTTTCCCAAGGGCCTATATAGTTGATTAGTTTACTAGGATCAGGACTTGGAAACGACTAGGCCTGACTAAATAGACTATTTACCCAAGAGAGGCTATAATTAAGAAACATATTAAAAAATATTTAATCTAGAGAGTTAACAGTGAGATAACAACTAAAAGTATGAATGCCATTTTATACCTATTAAATGAGCAGAAAACAAAAAATTTTAGTACCCAATGCTGCTAATAGGATGAAATAGAAATGTTTATACTTTGTGTGTGGCAATATACTTGTAAAGCCCGTTTAGAAGTTGATTTTGAGAGCTACGAAGATAATTCACATCCTTTGATGCCAATCCAAGGAATGCAGTAAAGCAGTCAGAAGGAAAATCAGTTGATCCAATTTTTGATCACAAAGAAAACTTTGATAATTCTGGATCCAATGTTTATTTTTAGGTCCCTGATGCTTTTGAGACTTCTTAGAGAGGACATGGTGCATTATACGGAGTGAATCTTGTGGCTTCGACTGAACTGCCCTTGAACTCATGACTCTAGGAATACACACTTGACTTTAGTCAACAGCCCGTTTCTTATAAAGGAAAAATCTACACGGACGAGCATTTCTGTGGAAGAGCCAGCCAGAGAGAGTGCCCCACTTGAGACACGACAGTTTCCATGAGTTAACTTGTGTCTCTATCAAATCATGAGCTCAGTGAGGTCTCAGTTTCCTCATCTGTGAAATGAAGAAATTGGACCAGATTAGGAGCTGGTTTGCAGACATTTTTTGGATAGCCCATATGGTGTATTAAAGTGGAAAATTTCACAGGAAAATCTGAATTTTTCTCTTGAAAAATCAGAAAATCTGGCAATACCAGGCTCAAGTTGTCTTATAAGAAGTCTTGACCTGACCAGCCTCTGCCCCCAGAGGAGCATATAGCCTGTAGTTGCCGCAGTCTCTGCCACTCCCTTTGTTATTTGCAGTAGCAGTTGAATTGGCAATCTCTAGGACCCTCTTGGCTTCTACATTAGGTTCCTGGATGTGCTGGTAAATGTTTAAGTGGCTCCCCTGGAAAAAAAAGCCCTATTTGTAGTGTTTGTTGATTTCCATGATGTAAATACTGCCACCATAGCTGATTTCAAGCTACAGATATGACAGAGATGTGTGCAGCCCATAGTGTAGTATAGTATAGTAAAGTATAGTTTTGTGTATTATAGTATACTACAGTTTATAGGATAGTATAGTACAGTATAGTGTAGTATTCTACCAGGCATAAATAGATATAAATAATGGAGAACAATAGACAATAGCGACATGTAGTAAAGTAGTTAGGAAGTGGTGAGATTTAAGTATTTATTACCTTCGTTTTAAAAATAATTTATTTAATTGTATATTTATATAATTTAATTTTTAATAATGCTTATATTTAACAGCCTTAAAATTTAACAATTGGCTCTTGCAAGCCATTCTGCACAGACATTGGCACTCTGCTGATTATTCTTAAAGCCAGAGACAGTGTGTTGTTCTTAACTCTCAACCCAGTACTTGTCATAAAAAAGGCACTCAAAATAAATTAACACCAAAGAATGAATAAATACTCAGTGAGTCTAGATGCCTAATCCCCTTTGCATCCCTTGAGAGCCAAATCTCTCCCCTAGGCAAAACAGGAACATTTTCCCCTGCCATACTTAATTTATTCACCAACTCTTCCTCTCCCCTATTTTGTCTTTAAGAAATAAAGGAAATGTTTGGATGAAAGATTTTTAAAATACTTCGATAAAAAAGGGAATCTTTGGGCAAAAAGTAAGATTATATTCTGAATGAAAAAGGATAATAGGAAAGGATTTAAGGGCCTGATTGTAGGAAAACTGGCTCAAAATAATGTACATAAATGTGAGTTAATATATAAAGATATACTTCCTAATTTTCAAAGAAAGATCAGGCCTTTCTTCCATGTTCATTCTATTAGTTCTCTTGCATTATGACAGAGTGGATTGTTCATTCATTCATTCATTACTTATTTAATTGCCGATAATCAGATTGTGTGTAGGGCAAAGAACCTCACAGCATTTATTCATATATTAAGGTCTAATGTATCCTGGGCTCTTTACTCTAGAAACTATCCTATACAGTAATTTCAGTATTTTTGTCAAAATGCCTTAAAATCTTCATGAGAGAGTGCTGAGCGACAGCTCAGAAACAGGCTGGCTGAATTATTCTGTTCACTGGGGAAAATGCCTGACTCTCATCCTAAGTGGCTGCTTCTGAACTAGGGTCTATGTTTTACGCAATCCCTAGTGTCCTAGAGGATTTTTCTTTGAAGAACAAAAGAAGCAGATATAAATTTTAATGAATCATGTTGTAGCTTATCGCTGAAAGGGGTACCTCACTTAGGTTATAGAGAAGTGAAAACAAACATGCTTGGCCCCATGGAGTAGGAAGCCCGGGGTTACCTCTTCATTTAAATAGATTCTAAAAATGAGACACCTATCATAAGAGAGAAATTCCCATCCCACCACAAAGAACAGTGTTCTCCTCTTGTCCCTTAAATGACACCTAAAAAATACACATGGTAGGTTTTTCTGCAGCAACTCTTCCACCGAGAGTGTGCTGGTGAGATTGATGAGTTCCTATGACCATCTCCCTTCTTATCTGCACATCCACCAAACAAACTGGACAAACTTCCTATTGTTTGAGTTGTAGATGATATTTTAAGCAGTCTCTATTTGTTTCAAAATTAGATAAAATATACTACTAAAATAGACTAGATGTTATAAGCAATCTGAAAAAACATACAGTTTGGTTGTATAGCCCCACATTTCCCAAATATTGCTTGCCCAATTGCCTTGAAGAAGACTCAAAGTGTTCAAACTGGGCAAGATTTCATAGCATCTCAGATCTGCGTGTGGGAGCAGAAGCCTGGAAGGGGAGTGTGGGATGTGGTCCTTGATTTTTAAGAGCAGAGCAGGAATTAGGTATCTAGTGACCTCTCCTCCCCTCCCCCCATACCTCTTTTGTTTTTGGTCATTAAACCTGAGGCTTCAGAAGGATTTATTAAATTTTTATGTTCTTTCCTGATGTTATAGTGAGTGCTTCATAAATATCCAAGATGTGAGGGCAATCTGGCTGAAACAAAAGTTACCTCACTGATCGCTAAGGTTGGCTGGGTGATATCACTCACCTTTATTCCTCAATTTCTCCTACTGGGTCTTTTTGAGAATCTTGTGCTTGGTGAAAAGGAAAGACTTTCCCTACAACAGGAGGTCATTTCTTGGTTATTAAAGGGTAGTAGGGTGACTAATCGTTCTAGTTTGTCTGTGACTGAGGGGGTTCCTGGGACTTCTAGTGCTAAAAACCATGGAACCCCAGGCAAATCAGGATGAACTGGTCATTCTAGTAGAGAGCTATGCCGCTTCACTAGCAGGTCCAAACATACTCTGATTATTGATAAGATAATAATGATGATGTATTGACATTCAGGATGATATTTCAAAGATGATTTTCAAAATGGAAAATGAATTTTAAAAAACAACAAATGGCTTTAATGTCTTTCAGTACTGTCTGGTCGATATACAGAACTATACACTCTGCAAGTACTTGACATTAGAAATTGGTGCTTAGACTAATTTCTACTCAAAAAATTTTGAAGGAACATTAAACTCATGTTGTTATTGATAATAAATGCATTACTCATTGGAGAAATACAATCCTTGAAAGAAGATTCATACATGAGCCCTTTAATGTTTTCTCCAAAAATAAGCAAGCAAATGCCAGCAGAAACCCCAGATTCTTCTCTTTCTATGCTAATTAGAGGTGATTTATTTTGATGGTTGAATGCTATCTCTAGAGACAATCACTGCCACAAATACGTGCTACCATTAAAGATATAGTTCTGAGGCAGGTGGTGAGAGAAACTGGGACTACACTATGGATATCTTACCGGGTCGGCTTCACTGAAGAGAAGCAGCGCTGGTGGGGCTTCTTGATTTCACCAGCAGCACAAGCATTTGACATCAGTGTGATCCAGATGCAGGTGAAGAAGACCAACTGGGAAGCTGGGATCACCTCTGCCGAAAGAAAGGAATGTAGATGGATGCAACCAACGCTGTTACCAATATTGCTTCTTCACGTGTCTTTTAAAAAGTAATTAGAGGGGCTTCCCTGGTGGCGCAGTGGTTGAGGGTCTGCCTGCCGATGCAGGGGACACTGGTTCGAGCCCTGGTCTGGGAGGATCCCACATGCCGTGGGGCAACTAGTCCCGTGAGCCACAACTACTGAGCCTGCGCATCTGGAGCCTGTGCTCCGCAACAAGAGAGGCCGCAATAGTAAGAGGCCCGTGCCGCAATGAAGAGGGGCCCCCGCTTGCCACTAGAGAAAGCCCTCGCACAGAAACGAAGACCCAACACAGCAAAAATTAATTAATTAATTAATAAACTCCTACCCCCAACATCTTCTAAAAAAAAAAAAGAATTGAGATAATGTAAATCAGACATCAGCAATCAAAATCTAGTCAGAAAAGGGTGGGAAGAGCAAATGTGAGATGAGGTGGCAGGAGTGAGTCACTAAAAAAAAAAAAAAAGTAATTAGAGTGCCAGGTAAAAAGGTATCAAGGAAAAAAAGAGAGACATTGTTTTCAATGCTGTGCCTTTTGTTTTAGTAGGTTAAATGGATTGACATCATTTACAGGCAAACATCTGTCTCGATCACCAGCAATTTAAGAAAAACAAAGCAGATTTTTTCATTTTGTTTCCATCCTTTAGTCCCTCTTTCCAGGGAAGGTTCTTAGTGGGATGCTTGATCCCCTACTCAATAAACTCCCAGCTGCAGTCCTCCGCAGACAAAGAAGTGAGATTAGGCATTAAGTCCCCTTAATCCAACACAATATCATTTGAATATATTTAATGACTCAGCAAAATAATATGCTTAATGAGAATAAAGATGATTAGTTTAATTTTAGTTATAGTTTTAAAGATCCTTTCCTTTATCTCATGGCTGTTTTTTTAATCCAGAAAGGAATCTTCCCCTCTCCAAATGCGTACAGATTGCCGGAATACAAACAAACTTAAATTATTATTTTATCAAATAAATAACCATATTTTAAGATGATGGTTTATTCCATTGATATAAAAAGTAGTTCAATTTAAGGTTTAATGTGGTGAGCAGCCAGATAAATAAAAAAAGAAATTAGTCTTGGGCAGTGGGTAAGGAATTAAATTATGGCCACATCAGCTCCTAAAGGTACTTTGCACACATCGAGTAGAAATATTCCCTCCATGTATGCAAAGTACCAGTGAATGGGCAGGTTAGTGAAATTCAGTTTCTCCAACTGAAAAAGCACAGGGTGAGCAATCCAGCGACAGCTGACCTGTTTACTAGGACTTAAGAAGAATGCTGTTTTCTTCCCAGGGATATACTGTGAAGGAATTCTTAAATTTTCTCGAATTGTTTTGTCTCCTTGACACCTCATATCCTGTGTTATTGCTTGATGGTGTTAATTTATTTTGATTTGGGTGATCTCTTCTCTTGGCCCATGCATATCCTCCTATGTTTCTTTGGCATGTCTTTCCTCTTTAAAATATGTGTTTAATATAAAATATTATAAATATTAAAATATTACAAATACACAGAATGATGTAATAAATACTTACCTCTCTCTTGATCCCCTATTTAGTGTTTATCATTGTATACAGTTATACTATTATGTATATTATGTACAGATTTTTTGCATATTTCAGAAAGTTTAATAAAAATGGTGTTAAATTATACTTTTACCTCTGCAACATACTTTTCCTCTCCACATTATGCTTAGATTTATTGTGTTGATAGTTGCAGTCCTAGTTAATTTTTGAGTGCCATACAGTAGCTCACCGTGTAGATAACTAACATTTTATTTATTCTTTTGCTGATGGGCATTATTTCTTATTTTTCAATGATAAACAATCTATTATAAGCAAACCTGCAGTGAATTTTTGTCAATATTTTCTTGCTCTCATACATAACAGTTTCTCTAGGGTATGTACCTAGGAGTAAAACTTCTAAGCTGAAGAATTTTCACATCTTCAAATTTATAGGAAACTACCATAATGGTCCTAAACATGACTGTGCCAATTTACAGCCCCATTAGAAGTGAATGAGAGCCCTCATTTCTTAAAAATTTTTTTAACATTAATATTATCAGGCTTTTAAATGTTACCGAATGCAATCAATGTTGTAGTTTTAAGTTTAATGTCCCTAATGGCTAGAGAAATTTGAGCATTTTTTTTTCATGTCTTTCTGGGCCAGTAAGCTTTCCTCTTCTGCAAAGAACCAGTCAACAGAAGAAATGTGAGGAAAGTTGCTGGTCTTAAGCTACTTCTGGAGGATGCCACCATGGTCAAAGTTTGTTTTCTACCCTAGTGATCTCATGAGATCCAGGGCCCTGACACTTGACCCGAGCACTCTCTGCTACCTGGGCCTGTTCTCTTCATTAAGTACCAGGATCTACACCAACATTTCCCAAAGTAGTTCTTGGCTACACTGGAGATGTTTTGTGAAAAAACATTCTGTGCCAAGTGAGTCTGGGAAACACTATACAAAAAAAATTTTTGTGTGTGGCTGTTTACCAATAAAATTTGTTTGTTGACATTTGAATTTCATAGAGTTTTCATGTATCATGAAATCTTCTTCTCTTTTCTCCCCCAATTAAACACTGTAAAAACCATTTGGTGGGATGGATACAGCCCACGGGGCATAATTTGCCAACTGTGAGTCCCCAGTCTAGGTTGGGGATTCACAGTTCACATCACACGGTTCAGTGAAAATGCTCTCCTCCTTCAGCAATGGGGAGGATGTGAGTTCAATGGTCTAGCCTCAGTGCTTATCTTACTAGATCTGCTGGCAACAGTGACACACCTGAGCTCTCCCTACTTGAAATATTTTCTTCACCTGCCCTCTGGGATACTGGACTTGCCTGTTTTCCTCTTACATCTTCCTCATTCCTGCTCGGTTCTATTATCTTATCTCCCTTCCTCTAACAGATTTCGCAGTACTCGAATGGCCCTGTGCTCGGCACTGCAGTGCTTTAGTACTCTTCTTTCCTACCAACTCACTCATTTTGTGATCTCAGCCAGTCTCAAGGCTTTAAGAACTGTACATACACTCCCAAATTATATAATCAGTCCAGGCTTTTCTCGCAGAATTCCATCTCATATTCCTATGGTCTCAATATTTGTGTCCCCCAAATACAAATGCTGAAATCTTAACCCTCAAAGGTGATGGTTTTAGTAGGTGGAAGCTTTGGGAGGTGATTAGGATGAAGCCCTCAAAAATGGGATGAATGGTCTCATAAAAGAGGCTCCAGAAAGATCTCTCACCCCTTCCACCATGTGAGGATAAAACAAGAAGTCTGCAACCTGGAACACAGCCCTCATCTGACCAAACTGTCACCCTGATCTTGGACATGAACTGTGGGAAATAAATTTCTGTTGTTTATAAACTGCCCAGTGTGTGGTATAGTGTGATAGCGGCCCAAACAGACTAAGACGCATATCCAACTGCCTGCTTACTTGGATGTCTGATAAGTATCTCAAGCTCAACATGTCCAAAAGTAAGTTTGTTAATATCACTCCCCCCAGCCCACCAATAGCCTTCTCCATCTCAACTGATAACAACACTGTCCATTCTTGACTCCTGTCTCTGACATTCCTTGTCCAGTCCACCTTAAAAATACAACCAGGATCCAAATGCTTCTCACCAGCATCTCAGCTACTACCCTGGCCTTTTAGTCATCATCATCTGTTGCTTGAATTATTGCGGTGGTGGCCTGTCTCCTTGCTTGTTCCCTTGCCTTGTTTCAGTTAATGCTGAACACAGCCACCAGCGATCCTTTAAAAATATAAGTCAGGTCAAGTAACTCCTCTCTTCAAAACTCTGCAATGGCTTCTCCTTTTCTTCAATTTGAAAAGTCTTTACAAAGGCTAGGAAAGCCTTACCTAATCTACAGTTCCCTCCTCTTCCTTGCCTTCTCCACTGTTCCCTCCCCCACCACTGGCTGTAGAAATACTGGCCTCTGTGGTTCCTGGAACACACCAAACACACTCCCACAGCAGGGTCTTTGCACAGATTGTCACACTTGTCTGACCCACCCATCATATAGATTCTGACCCACCCAAGGATCTATATGACTAATTCCTTTAACAAATTTAAATCTTTGCTCAAATATCGTTTATTCAATGAAGTACACCCTAACCCCCCTTTAAAAAATGCAGTATGCTCCCTTTCCTTCAAACACCTGTTACCAATCTACCATATACTCCACTTAGCATGTTTTATACAATTTACTTATTATAGTTATTCATTCTCTGTCTAATCATGCTAGAATGTAAGCTTTACAAGGAAGCATTCTTTGTCTGTTTTGTTCCCTGGGGTACAAAATTTTGTTCCCTGGGGTATCCTAAACACTTGTAACCATTTTTGGCATATAATCAGTGTTTAATAAATATTTGTTACATTAAAAGCATCAGAAAAAATCCTGTTTAGTTCTGCTGGATTGTGTGTTTCCCAAGCTAGGCTGACCTCAGATCTCCATAAAAAAAAAAAAAAAATCCACCAGACTTACTAATATTCCTCAAAAAAAGTGCTCCTCCAGAGCACCCAGTTTGGGAAATTCTGATTTATCAGTTAATCTGTGCTTTACAAATCCTCCGTATCAAAATTCTGTGTCCTAGCATCTCATGACTACTTTTTTCTTTTTAACATCTTTATTGGAGTAAACTGCTTTACAATGGTGTGTTACTTTCTGCTTTATACCAAAGTGAACCAGCTATACATATACATATATCCCTATATCTCTTCCCTCTTGCATCTCCCTCCCACTCTCTCTAACCCACCCCTCTAGGTGGTCACAAAGCACCGAGCTGATCCCCCTGTGCTATGCGGCTGCTTCCCCCTAGATATCGGTTTTACATTTGGTAGTGTATATATGTCCATGCCACTCTCTCACTTTGTCCCAGCTTACCCTTCCCCCTCCCCATGTCCTCAAGTCCATTCTCTAGTAGGTCTGCGTCTTTATTCCTGTCCTGCGCCTAGGCTCTTCATGACTTTTTTCTTTTTTTGATTCCATATATGTCTGTTAACATAAGGTATTTTTTTTCCTCTTTCTGACTTACTTCACTCTGTATGACAGACTCTAGGTCCATCCACCTCATTACAAATAACTCAATTTCGTTTCTTTTTATGGCTGAGTAATATTCCATTTGTATATATGTGCCACATCTTCTTTATCCATTCATCTGTTGATGGACAATTAAGTTGTTTCCATGTCCTGGCTATTGTAAATAGAGCTGCAATGAACATTGTGGTACATGACTTTTTTTGAATTATGGTTTTCTCAGGGTATATGCCCAGTAGTGGGATTGCTGGGTTGGATGGTAGTTCTATTTTCAGTTCTTTAAGGAACCTCCATCCTGTTCTCCATAGTGGCTCTATCAATTTACATTCCCACTAACAGTGCAAGAGGGTTCCCTTTTCTCCACACCCTCTCCAGCATTTATTGTTTCTAGATTTTTGGATGATGGCCATTCTGACTGGTGTGAGATGATACCTCAATGTAGCTTAGATCTGCATTTCTTTAATGATTAATGATGTTGAGCATTCTTTCATGTGTTTGTTGGCAATGTGTATATCTTCTTTGGAGAAATGTCTATCTAGGTCTTCTGCCCATTTTTGGATTGGGTTGTTTGTTTTTTTGATATTGAGCTGCATGAGCTGCTTGTAAATTTTGCAGATTAATCCTTTGTCAGTTGCTTCATTTTCAAATATTTTCTCCCATTCTGAGGGGTGTCTTTTCATCTTGTTTTCCTTTACTATGCAAAAGCTTTTAAATTTCATTAGGTTCCATTTGTTTATTTTTGTTTTTATTTCCATTACTCTGGGAGGTGGGTCAAAAAGGATCTTGCTGTGATTTATGTCATAGAGTGTTCTACTGATGTTTTCTCCTAAGAGTTTTATAGTGGCAGGCCTTACATTTAGGTCTTTAATCCATTTTGAGTTTATTTTTGTGTATGGTGTTAGGGAGTGTTCTAATTTCATTGTTTTACATGTAGCTGTCCAGTTTTCCTAGCACCACTTATTGAAGAGGCTGTCTTTTCTCCATTGTATATTCTTGCCTCCTTAATCAAAAATAAGTTGACCATATGTATGTGGGTTTATCTTTGGGCTTTCTATCTTGTTCCCTTGATCTATATTTCTGTTTTTGTGCCAGTACCATACTCTCTTGATTACTGTACCTTTGTAGTATGGTCTGAAGTCCAGGAGCTGATTCCTCCAGCTCTGTTTTTCTTTCCCAAGATTGATTTGGCTATTCGGGGTTTTTTGAGTTTCCATACAAATTGTGAAATTTTTTGTTCTAGTTCTGTGAAAAATGCCAGTGGTAGTTTGATAGGGATTGCATTGAATTTGTAGATTGCTTTGGGTAGTAGAGTCATTTTC